TGAACAAGGTAGTTGCAGTTCATAATAATAGATGCCAGTCTTAAACACTATTTTTTCGAATACTTAGTTTTTGGTGTGAAGCTGACACTGTCCACAGACTCCATGACTTCACGGGGTTCAATAGAAAACAAATGTCTTATAATAAATACTAAATAATCATCTGTTCAATTGTCATGTTCACCTCATCGCTGTTGACATCAGTAAATATAAAACACAGACATTCCTCTTTTTGTCAGAACAGTAATGAACTGTATGCTTTGTAATATTGATTTCTTCTGGATGTCTCATATTTATTTACAGTTTATGGATAAAACTTTGTTAATGTATTTCTCTGCTAACAACGACAAAGTCTAACTGCTCTGACAAATAACTAATAACCATAGTTGTATATTTAAAAAAGTGTAGTTTTAAGACTTTAATTAAATATTTGGGTTGAATATAATTAGTTTTAACTGTGTTGTATAAAAGTTAAATGTTAACTTACTGTTTGTAGAGTTTTCTCAGGACGAGCAGGAATAGTTGATGATAGCAGCCTAGCTGTTAGCTATGTTGTCAAGTGGACTGCTAACGTCGAGCTGAATGGGCGGAGCTAAGTCCCGCTGGTCCCGCCTTACTGCTGTCGTTAGGTTGATCCGAAGTTAGGTTGAGACTGCAAATCCAATATGGATGCGGCCGTCGATTGGACTCATTTTCTGCCTATGTCACAGACGGGTCAGGGTTCGTCCAGTAATATTTACAGTCTATGCTTAAAACCCGTCTCAGCTCCAGCTCTCAGCCTGTGGGTGACATCACTCAGGCCATCCGGGGGAGACCTCCCTCACAGCGAGCTGTTGAAGAGAAGCAACTGAAGAACCCCAGAAGAACCAACAAATGCAGATGTTGTTGAGGCTCAGGTTTCTTCCTCTGTCTCTGCAGCTCTCTGGGCACCTCGATGGACAAGTCACCAATAATCCACACTGTGTCTATAGGAGAAATACAAAGGTGTTCAATTAATGCCTCAGACAAGACAAAATGTACAGTTAACTACATGTGACAGCTCAGGGTGTTTTTTTGTTATTAGCCACACCTGCAGGAATAATATTGAACAAGGTAGCTGCAACTCATAATAATAGATGCCAGTCTTAAATACTATTTTTTCTAATACTTACAGTTTTTGGTGTGAAGCTGACATGACTTCACGGGGTTCTATAGAAAACGAATGTCTTATAATACTAAATAATTATTTATCAATTGTCATGTTCACCCACATAGCTGTTGACATCAGTAAATATAAGACACAGACATTCCTCTTTTTGTCAGAACAGTAACATGAACTGTATGCATTGTAATATTGATTTCTTCTGGATGTCTCAAATATTTATTGACAGTCTATGGTCCAACAGTAGTTTTATCAACAACAACGAAACAAAAAAAGACGCCAAAGCTCTCGTCTTTTATCGTTTTAATACAGACTTATTACAGTTAAACATGTAATTACACCCAAGTAATGATTTGTAACACAATGTGAGAATTTAAATGTAAAGATTAACCTCAAAATGTTTCTTCCATTTTATGATAAAGCTTTGCTAATGTATTGCTCTGCTAACACTGACAAAGTCTAGTAACTGCTCTGACAAATAACTAATAACCATAATTGTATATTTAAAAAAGTGTAGTTTTAAGACTTTAATTAAATATTTGGGTTGAATATAATTCGTTGTAACTGTGTTGTAGAAAAGTTAAATGTTAACTTACTGTTTATAGAGATAACTCAGGACGAGCAGGAAAGCAGTAAGGGATGATAGTAGCCTAACCGTTAGCTATGCTGTGAAGTGGCCTGCTAACGTCGAACTGAATGGGCAGAGTTTAAGTCCCGCCTTACTGCTGTTGCTAGGTTGATCTGAAGTTAGGTTGAGACTGCAAATCCAATATGGATGCGGCCGTCAATTGGGGTGTGTCCGAATTGTCCCTCCTATCTCTTTTCACTATCCACTTTACCTTAACCCCGGAAGCAGTTAAGTGGCGGCCATGATAAGAGCCGTTCGAATCTATGGTTCGAATTCTCTAAAAGTTAAGGAAAGGTGGGTCAATGCTTCCTTTATAACCTCCTTTAGCATAGGATATACTGGACCATCCTTTACGAAAGGAGATGAGATTTGACGCCCCACAATTCCTTGCGGCCGCAACATTTAAAGCGACTCGCGCATCCGACCGTTCAAGAACATTAACGATGATCGTAAAGTGACACAGATCATGTAAGAGATAAAAGATAAGAGACATTTTTATCCAGATGATGTTTTATTCAACATATTTCATTCAATTCAGAATGTTTTGTGCATTTCTTCAGTTGTACATTCTTGTCTTGCAAACATGTAACAATTAATTTCATATTTATTTTTATGTTGATTTATGATTGTAGTCCATTTTCGGAACATTGTAGTTTCAACACGGCAGACCCACGTCATTAACCTCGTCCGGCCTGTCGCATTTAATGACGTCGCCTAGTGGAAAATGATTGTCAGAGCAACAAGATCGCCTTTCCCTAAGTCCTTTATGAATTCTCCTAACATCTTTCCTTGACCTCATGACGTTTTCGCGGGGTTAAGGTAAAGTGGATAGTGAAAGGAGATAGGAGGGACAATTCGGATGCACCCTTGGACTCATTTGCTGCCTATGTAACAGACGGGTCAGGGTTCATCCAGTAATATTTACTAGTGATGGGAAAAGCAGTTCTTTTCAGTGTACTGAATCAGTAGAATCAGTTCAGTAAAGTGATTCGTTCAAAAGATTCGTTCACCGAATCGTTCAGTACTTATCAGCAGCTCTGTCTGTGAATCAGAATTTAACAAGCTGAAACACAGCCAAACGTTTAGTTCTGCTCGTGATCATACTGAGAACAGCCGGTGGTGAATAATAAGCCAATGAGCTGAGAATTTAGTTGGATAAAGCTACAGTTTGCAAACTGAAAGCTACTAAAACAATCACATTTTCCCCAAACGTTGTTCAGTACGTTCAGTACAAGAAGAGGAAGAGAGTGACTCAGAGGCAGAGCTCTCATTCAGTTCGTTCACTGAACGAGAGCTCCGCTCTTCCTCTAGACAAATGTTTTCCTGACATATCCGCCGCCAGCACCGAGGGGCCACGCGGCCTCGGGTGCGGGGATCTCAAACCGGTAATGATCCTTCCGCAGGTTCACCTACGGAAACCTTGTTACGACTTTTACTTCCTCTAGATAGTCAAGTTTGATCGTCCGATCGTCGAGAGCTCCGCCTCCGAATCACTCTCTTCCTCTTAGTACGTTCAGTGAACGAAACTCTGACTGAACGTGAACGAGCGAGACTGCGAGTCACCAGCCTCAGTCACACACACACACTGTACTGACTGAAACACGATCGTTAGTGGATGTTAAAACAGTCAGCTGAGTGAAATTAAGTTGGATATAAAAGCCGTTTGCAAACTGACAGCAGCTATAAAAAGCACATACATTTTCGCGACACCTAAATATTAAATAATATATTTGCTACTTCCTTCTGATACCTCAATTTTCAAACCATGAGAGGGAGAAGTAGGGGCGGGCTTTAGCGACACAGAGCTCCCGACCGACTCCGTCCTGTTGGTTCAGTCAGTACGTATCACTGACATGAAAGGGAGAGGGAGGGCGGGCTTTGAGCGACTCTTATGTTCTAGAGAGAGAGACACGAGACAGGAGAGAGGAGAGCGCAACTGAAGTAGAGAAATGAACGACTCTTTTCAGTAAGTGATTCAGTTCAGTTCGTTCACCCAGATGATTCGTTCGTTTTGAACGAATCGTTCACGAACTACACATCATTAATATTTCAGTCTATGGGTGAGACAAATGATAATGCCGTGTAAGAAGAATTAAAGTGAAGTCAGAACTATTACAGCCTGATTTTAAAGTCATGCTGACAAGTGTGGTCATCCATTTCCGGGTTAGTCTGGGCCCAATGTGACATCTTTTCACAGGGCCCGAAGTTCCTGGCGGCGCCCCTGGTTAGCACCATCTAAATTGGAGTGTTTGAGGGAAGAGTTGTCTTATATGTTGAGCATTGGGGTGGTAGAGCATGGGCAGAGTGAGTGGAGTTCTCCAGTGGTACAAAATCTGATAATACATCGAGACTTTGTATTGACTACAGGAAAGTGAAGTTCAAAACATTGAATCAGTGTTTTCAGCATTCAGTGTTCAGTAGCATTTAGCTGTGGGGTTGTGTTAGCACGTAACACTGTGTGTGTGTGCACTCATGCCCTTATATGGGCACAAAGGGGGCGTTTCTTTATGATATGCAAAAAAATAAGACTCGCCTCCCATTACAAGGTTAAAGGAAGAAAATGCAATTACTCAAATTTAAATATATCAGAAATCCAGTCTATCATCTGAAATAACTCAGTGAGTCATGACTGTCTACAATGAGTCTGTGATGTTGTCTGCGCCATATCTACAGCATGTTTACATGGACAGGATAGCCGGCCGGCTCCTCCCCTTGTGTATAAAAATTGTTTAATTGAGGGACTAGAGAAAGAAGAACATTCTGTACTCACTGCTTATTTGTAAGCGTTTTTAGATCACGTCATTTCGTGTAAATTTACATGCAGAGTGAAGCTACGAGCTAACTAAAGAATGCTAAAATTAGCATGCTAACACAACAATGCAGCTCGAGTTGTTTTGCTGGTGCTCAAGGGCGACATCTGCTGGATCAAAAAGTCACATAGTCTTCTTTTAGGTGTTTGTCAATTTAAGAACCCCGTTGTGAACGAATTCTCTGTTCATGACTTTCTTAACAACACATTTAGGAAGATGCTTCAGAAGAAATCATTGAATGAGGTCCAGTGTTTGTAGTTTTTGTTCTTAGCTAAGATAAAAAAAAAAAGAATGTCAAAGAGGCTGAGTGTGTTTTAAGAACTTTCTCTTCTAATGCACAGTTTCTGAATGAGGCCTCAGGTGATCCTCTTAGACCTGTTCTAAATGTTCAGTGGTGAGGGAATAAAGAAATTGAGCACACACATTCCTCTCATGATTTATTGTAACATGTGCAGTATTGACAATAATAAAATGCAGCATGACGAGCGTGTTAACCAATGTTAGGGTCATGAACACAAATAAATATCTGAACTGAAGCCTGAGAACGACTACACTAAGAGCTTCTTCATTATTCTTACAGACTCGTCCACAGTGACTTAGTGCTTTAAATCATCCCTCGCTTGCTTTGTTAAAGGAACAAGTCTCTGAAATCTGCAGAGTGTAAGACTCTCCCTCTCCTGCAGGGGGCGCCAGTCCGACACAGCGCAGGTTTACGATGGCTGGTTCCTTTAACATGGTGTCCTATGGAGCCTGCGTGGTTCCTAAGCCCACGGCGTTAGCGTATGCGGACAGCAGACTGATGACCTGCCGGGTCTCCAGAGTGAGTCTGGCCTCGGTCAGCCAGTCCTCCACCACCCTGCGCGCCTCTCCTCTCAGCTGGTTCACCAGTTTAGCTGCCAGCTCCAGGTCGCCGTGCTCCAAGCAGAAACTTGCGTACGACAGCAGCTTGAACGGGTCCAAATCCTCGCCGCTCAGCTGGGTGGGCGGGGCCGCCTGTTTGTCCTCAAACAGCAGAGCGGCCTGCAGGTAAGACAGGAAGTACTGGTACAGGGAGTTGTGGGATTCGTCGATGAGCGCGACACGGCGAGCCAGAGATCTCAAGGAGTTGAAACGAGCGCGGAGCGAGGCCTCGCTGTACACGCCTCGCTGTAGGGACTCCTGGGGGAACGCCGACGACAGAGCCAGAGCGAAGTCGTTGTCGCTGCAGCTTTCTTTCACAGCCTGAGCGGCGCCCTCTAGAGGCATGGAAGGGGAGTCTGTGTCTGCAGACTTCAGAGAGTAGCTGAGAGCCTCGACAGAGAGCCACAGCTGGTGAGCTTTACGAGCCTCCTCCTCAGCGATCACATGACCTGAAATCAATGACAGGGATTGGTCACATCACAAGCACAAGAGGAACAACAACAAGGTTTTTATCTTTAATACTACTAATCTGAACCAAACCCTCTGCAGGTCACATGACCACTGACTTTTACTCACTTTAACCTGATTGACCTCCTGCTGCTCGCTTACAAAACAGCGACAAAAACGGCTCCTCCTTACTTTAAATCTCTCATCCAGGTCTACACTCCCTCCCGCCCACTACGCTCTGCCAATGAGAGGCGTCTGATCCAACCTTCACAACAGGGTCCTAAGACGCTGACTAGACTCTTCTCCTCTGTCACCCCCCCCGGTGGTGGAATGAACTTCCAAACTCCATTGGATCTGCAGAGTCCCTCTGCACCTTTAAGAAAAAGCTAAAGACCCAGCTCTTTCATGAATACCTACTAACTTAATGATGATGGTCTCCATATTATTGATGATGATGATGATGATGATGATGGTTGTGACGATTGTTTTTGTTTGATAACGATGACTTATAAGATGGTTTCTATACTGATTAGAGCTCTCAAGAACTGCCCTCAATGTTGTGCTTTGCCTCTGGTCACTTCCTGTCAGCACCTGTGTGTCCAATCAGACTCAAAGCTGATCGTTTGCTCTTACTGACATTGTTCCCTTTTTTCTAGATCCTTACTTGTGTTGTACTTACTCTCTGATGTACGTCGCTTTGGATAAAAGCGTCTGCTAAGTGAATTGTAGACCTGAATTTGAGCATTCATTTGTCTGTGTGTGTGTCTTACTGTCGATAGCCTCCTCCATGCCCTTCAGTCGTGCATATGCTGTGTTCATGTCCAGAGTGAAGTTGTCCAGCTGCTCCTGACTCAGCTGACGGAAACGAGTCTCCTGCTCCAACATCTTACTGCTCAGCACCTGAACGTATCACAGAACACATTAAAACCTGCTCAGCACCTGAATGCATCACAGAACACATATTTAAAACCTGCTCAGAACCTAAACGCAACGCAGATCATGTTTAAAACCTGCTCAGCACCTGAACGCATCACAGAACACATATTTAAAACCTGCTCAGCACCTGAACGCATCACAGAACACATATTTAAAACCTGCTCAGAACCTAAACGCAACGCAGAACATGTTTAAAACCTGCTCAGCACCTGAACGCATCACAGAACACATATTTAAAACCTGCTCAGCACCTGAACGCATCACAGAACACTTATTTAAAACCTGCTCAACACCTGAACGCATCACAGAACACATATTTAAAACCTGCTCAGCACCTGAACGCATCACAGATCATATTGTGATGTCATTTGACTATCTTCAAACACGTCTAATCTCTAAAATCAGTCAGACCTAAAGGTTATATAAGTTACCTAAGCTGGACTCTGAAGATCATGATATTATTACAGAGAGATAGGACAATGGATAGAGAGAGAGTGGTGAATGATATGTGGGAAAGGAGCCACAGGTAAGATTCGAACCGGGGCCTCTACTTTGAGGACTAAAGCCTCTTTACATAAGGGCACGGGAACTAACCACTTGGACACCTGTGCCCCCCTTTTGTTGTTCTTATGACAACAAATACAAAGATCTATGTATTCTCTGATCTTTATCGTGCACATAGAAGTCTTTTCTGTGATCTGTAATGTGTGCAGACTCACCTGCTCTGCATCAGCTTTTAGCTCCGCCTCCTGGACTTTAAGGACATCCTGGACGTGGTCTGTGTGAGCAGCCGCCTGACGCCGCAGCTGAGTCCGCATCTCCGCCTCCATCACCTCCCTGAGCTCAGACAGCTACACACACACACACACACACACACACACACACACACACACACACACACACACACACACACACACACACACACACACACACACACACACACACACACACACACACACACACACACACACACACACACACACACACACACACACACACACACACACACACACACACACACACACACACACACACACACACACACACACACACACACACTCTCTCTCTGACTTGTGTTTGTCTTAAACACCTGAACAGACCCCCCACTCTCTGACTTGTGTTTGTCTTAAACACCTGAACAGACCCCCCTTCCCTCTGCGTACCTTTCTCTCCTGATCCAGCCGGGCCTCCTCCCTGACGTGCTGCAGGGACGTGCTGACAGCCTTCTCCAGGGCTCTCTGGTCCTCCAGTTTTTGCTGCTCCAGTGCCGAGTCGATGTGGATCTGCTCTCTGACCCTCTGCTCCGCCAGCTCTCTGTTCAGCTGGTCGATGCGACGGTGAGCGTGAGCGATCAGAGCATTCAGGTCGTCAGGTGACAGTTTACCAGCTGACACACACAAACATAACAAATAAAGATCAGCTTCTGCTCCTCTATGAAAACCACAAAAGCTCTGATACTAAATCTAACTTACTTTAGTGATTAGTTCACCCAGTATGTTGACTGCCATACCAGGGAAAATAAAACTTTGGACTTGCTGTATGCAAACACCAAGGATGCATACAGATCATCACCCCTCCCGCCTGGGCCGCTCAGACCACAGCCTGGTGAGACTACAGCTCATTTACATACCTATGGTGAAAAAACAACCCCCCACAACCAGGTATGTAAAGAAGTGGTCTAAGGAGGCCACTGAGGCGCTGCAGGACTGCTTTGACACCACTGACTGGGAGGTGCTGTGCAGCCCACATGGGGAGGACGTCGACGATGTTTCTCCAACAACAAACCCTGGGTGACCCCTGAGCTGAAAACCCTGCTCAATGAAAAGAGGAAGGTTTTTAGATCTGGAGATAGAGAGGAGCTGAGGAGGGTGCAGAAGGAGCTCAAGAAAAAAATGAAGGAGGGGAAAGCCAGCTACCGGGCAAAGATGGAGGAGCATTTACAACAAAAAATGCAAGAGAAGTCACAGCAGAAGGCGTGGGAGGGGCCCTGAAGCAGGAGACAGGGATAGGGCAAATGAACTGAATCTGTTCTTCAATAGATTTGATTCTGCTCCCAACCCCACCCCCACCCACCAGAGCGCAGACCAGCCCGCTTCTCAGACACTCCATCTGAGTACCCTGCCACCCCCCTCAACAGCCCTCTCCTCCTCCTCCCCTGTCACCCCCCCAACAACCTCCTCCTCTTTCACCTCTCCATAACAGCTGATCAGGTGAGAAGTCAGCTGAGGAAGATCAAGGCGAGGAAGGCCACAGGTCCCAACGGCATCAGCTCCAGACTCCTGAAGCACTGTGCAGACCAGCTCTGTGAGGTCCTTCTGCACATCTTCAACCTGAGCCTGAGACTGGAGAGGGTACAGACTCTGTGGAAGACTTCCTGCGTGGTGCCAGTCCCAAAGACATCTCACCCCAGGGAGCCTAACCACTTCAGACCTGTGGCCCTCACCTCTCACCTGATGAAGACCATGGAGAGGATCATCCTCAACAACCTCCGCCCCCTGGTGACTTCAAATCTGGATCCTCTGCAGTTCGCCTACCAGCCGAACATCGGGGTGGATGACGCCGTCATCTACCTGCTGCAGAGATCCTGGACTCACTTAGAGAACACCGGCAGCACTGTGAGGGTCATGTTCTTTGACTTCTCCAGTGCCTTCAACACCATCCAGCCTGCACTGCTCAGGGGGAAGCTAGAGAGGGCGGGAGTGGACTGTCACCTGGCTGCACGGACAACGGACTACCTCACCAACAGACCACAGTATGTGAGGCTTCAGGACTGTGAGTCTGACATGGTGGTCTGCAGTACAGGGGCCCCCGCAGGGGACAGTTCTCTCCCCTTTTCTCTTCACCCTGTACACCTCGGACTTCTGTTACGACTCTGGGAGCTGCCACCTGCAGAAGTTCTCTGATGACACAGCCATCGTGGGGTGTGTGTCTAAGGGGAGCGAACAGGAGTACAGGCAGGTCATCATGGACTTTGTCGACTGGAGTGAGCTCAACCACCTTCAGCTCAACGCCAGCAAGGAGATGGTGATTGACTTCCGCAGGAAGTCACCCCAGACTGCACCGGTGAACATCCAGGGCTTGGACATCGAGAGGGTGGAGACGTACAAATACCTGGGTGTTCACCTCAACAATAAACTGGACTGGTCACACAACACGGATGTCATGTACAAGAAGGGCCAATGTCGACTACACCTGCTGAGGCGACTGAGGTCCTTTGGAGTGTGCAGGACTCTGCTACGGACTTTTTATGACACTGTGGTGGCGTCTGCACTTTTCTATGCAGTGGTCTGCTGGGGAGGAGGGAGCACAGAGAGAGACAGGAAGAGACTGAACAGACTGGTCAGGAGGGCCAGTTCTGTCTTGGATTGTCCTCTGGACTCTGTAGAGGAGGTGGGTGAAGGATGTTAGTGAAGCTGACATCCATCATGGACAACCCCTCTCACCCCCTGCATGACACTGTGGGGGCCCTGAGCAGCTCCTTCAGCAGCAGACTGAGACACCCACCCTGCAAGACAGAGCGCTACCGCAGGTCTTTCATTCCATCTGCCGTCAGACTGTTCAATCAGACTCTTTAACAGCATCACCACCTCATGCTACACACTGTGTGTGTTTTCTTAATAACAATAACCCTTTCCTGTGTAGTTATTGTGTAATTTTTCCATTATTGTATTTTTTCATTTAACTGATGTAAATATGTTTGATTTGATTTTAACTTCTATTTTTATTTTTAATAATTATATTCCCGTCCCCTGTTTTCTGGAGCTGCTGTAATGCACAAATTTCCCCCACGGGGGATCAATAAAGTTCATCTTTATTTTTGTAATTGTTCCAGAACTTCAATATGACACTAAACTATTGATACCGTTTTTATCGTTAGACTTAGGCCATGTTCACACTTGACTTCTTTTTTTCTTCTCTTTTACTTGACTGAATTGAATTTGAGCATTGCACCTTTTTTTTTTTTTTTTACATACAACCCCATGGAGAAAGTAAACAGAATGACGCCTTTTTACAAAGCGCTGTGTACTTTTCAGAAAAGCGCTGTGAGACATCAAGCGCCTTTCTGACAGCTGACCAATCAGGACCAGTCAAGTAGGTGCGCGTGTACCTTCCCTAGTAACTTACATCCCTAGTTACCGGTGCCCAAAAAGACACCCACCAAGAAGGAGTCCATCTGTGAACAGATCGGTAGATCTTTGGGTCTTTCTGGTAAGTAGAGCGGAGCTCCCGGATCAGGTTGCAGAATGCCCCTCCGAGACTCTCTATTGAGGAGGATGTCATGCACCCATAAACACACCACACTGGTTGTTCGGGGGCATCGTCCTCCTCAAACACCAAAGCCAATGCAAATAGTTGCAATTTATTCTCCATTTTAACAGCCAACATTATCGGTAGAAAGCTATCTGGTAGACGATAACGGTTGCGGCGTAGGCTAGATCCCATTGTCAAGGTTACAGAACTTTTGCGCAGAAGCGCTCAAAAGGCAGCACCAGAACATTTAGCAACATATATAAATGTCTGTGTGTGACCTACTCAGGGACTTCCAGTTGGCCTGGATCTCTGGAGTCAGGCTGCTAACTTCTTTCTGGAACTGAAGTTTAGCTTCATTCACCAGCTCGCTGTACTGAGATACGATCTTAGCCTCCGACTCTGCGGTCTGCTTCTACACACACACACACACACACACACACACACACACACACACACACACACACACACACACACACACACACACACACACACACACACACACACACACACACACACACACACACACACACACACACACACACACACACACACACACACACACACACACACACACACACACACACACACACACACACACACACACACACACACACACACAGAGAGAGAGAGAGAGAGAGAGAGAACATTTCTAGCAGTAAATCTACAGAATTGCATTGTACAGACCTGGGCCAGCAGTTTCCCTCCGTTTCCAGTCTTTATGCTAAGCTAACTGTCTGTAGCTTCATGACAACTTTAAAGACATGAAGGTGGATTAAATTTGTCTGCCAGAAAGTACTTTATATCATAAAAAGGTATTATCCTCAGTTTTCTCAGGATGAACATGATGATGCTGCGGTTACCTTGGTAACAGCTTTGTCCAGGTCCACCACCATGTTGTGGAGATTCTCCTCTGCTGCTAAAACCAGTGGACGCACAGCTGAGACCTTCAGCCCTTTAGACTCATCGATGACCGACTTCAGACCGTCCAACGCCTCACTATGGGGGGAAGAGGGGGTGTTAATGAAATGACTGCATGTGGATCAGTGTTTCCAGAGAAGTTGTGTGTGTTTGTGTGTGTCTCACTTGGCCTTGGACAGAGCAGCTGTAGCGTCGTCCACAGCAGAGTTTCTGTCAGCCAGAGAAACTTCCAGATCTTTCCACTGAGCAGACTTCTCCTGAGGGGGAACCTGGATGAACAACACCTGATCAGTGCACTGTACACTACGCACTATGATCATTAATGGTCTGAATACACCACTCCTGTGTGTGTGTGTGTGTACCTCTGCCTCCATGGCCTCCTTTAGTCTGAGTGTGTGTCGTGTGACGGCCTGCAGAGCTGCCTCCTGAGCTCCTATCGCCTGCAGGGTCGCTTTAGCCGAGCTTGCTAGAGAGTCCTCAAGACTGACAGACACCGCTGCAACACAAACACACAAAACTTTTATCATCTGTGTCAAGCACAGTATTATAAAGGTACGAGCTCTGGCTTGTCCAATTTAAAGTGGAAGTCAATGAACTTGAGTTTGTTTGGTAGTCGAGTCTTCTGAATACTCTAAGGGCTTTTTACTTTATCTAACGTGCAATTTCAGCCTGATTCTGATCCGACTTTGGAGCCACATGGCTCCGTCGTGGAGTGTACAGGGGGGGCACGATGGCTGATCATGGCCTGATCGGCTGCTCCTGCCTGGTTGGATGAATTTCTGTGTTGTTTTACATTTTGTTTGTATGACTGCAGACACTCGCACAGTGACAGCAGAGCAATGAGCTGATTTCCCAATTTCAGGGATTTATTTTCCTGAAGCACCTGCGCAAACTGTCAACGTTTGGAATCACAATGGCAATAGAAGGCATGCCTCTTTGATCTTTCTCCTCTTATCACCAATGAGATGAACAGGTTTGCAAGAAATATCTTCAGAACAGGAAATCTTTTTATTTATTTAACAAATTCCCTTGGCGTTAAACTAGTAAGCTTATGTTTAATGCTCTGTGTGTGTGTGTCTATGAGGGTGTGTGTTATCTTACCTGCGAGCACGTCCTGCTCCTGCTGGTCCTGCAGAGCCAGTCTGGCCGTCACTTCTTCTTCTGGTCGTTCTCTCAGAGGTTCAGCTTCAGCAGCCGTAGCTTCAGGCTGAACAGCCGCTGACACTGTGCTGTCGTCATGGTGATGGCACTCGGCACACTCCTCTACACAGAACACACACACACACTCCTTTTAACTACCTTATAGTGATCCAGTAATGCAATACAGATGGAGTGTGACATCAGGAGGATAGGTTCACATCTCTTACAGAAACACATAAAGGTCAAAGTTCATACTGTAAGCGTGACTGTAATGAGTGACACTTTCATATAATTCGTTTTGTTAATACCAACACTGAGATCTGCAGCTAACAAACACACATTAAAGACCCTGACACACCAAGGAGGCCATCGTTCCGTTGGTGAGCGGTCGTCGCCCTAGTCTTTGCGGTGTGTCCAGCTCCGTCGCTAACCTGTTTTTGGCCGATTCCACATGTGGAAGCAGTCAACGTCGCGGTAGGAATCTCTCTGATTGGCTGTTCAGCTAAGCGAAACAGGAGAGCCAGTGCACGAGAAGAATAACAGAAGAACCTCTTCTATTCTTGTTCCACTAATAAAAGACCAAGACCTGACAACGCCAGCGCCATTTTCAACTTTTTATCAGACATTATTCTCCATTAGAAGTTCCTATATTACGAGTGTTTAGCGGCAGCGGTGAGAAAATTGTCTTCTCGTATCATAACAACGGTTATCTTATCCGCGTTCTTCCTCATCCTCTCCCGGTTTCCCCTTTTTGGAATGATGATTACAGACTACCGCCGCCTGCTGGCATGGAGAGTTATTTCCTCTCATGCATGTGCAGAACGTACGTGGTGGTTGGCCGTTGGCTGTAGTCTAGTGCAACTTTTTGGCCAAGACAAAAGACGGCCTTTGTCGCCACTCGTTCTTTGCCGTCTGCTTGGTGTGTCAGGGCCTTAACTCTGATGCTTGTGTGTAAAGGAGCGTGATGTTCAGGGGAGTTACCTTTGACTGCTGCTGCCTCCGTGTCACAGGGAGCAGGGACTGATGGAGCATCACCCATGGCTGAGATGATGTGAGTCGCCTCTGCTGAAGCCTCTGACGGGACACACACACACAGTATGTAAGGTTACATAAATGTAGACACAGAAGAGTTCTGGATGTTGAGCACTCAAGTTGTCAAAAAGGTCCAATGCTTTGATATTTTTTGATACCAAGTGTTTGATGATTAATAGAATCAAAAAGTACTGAAGCTTAAAAGAAACTGATAAGTGATAACGATGATCACTACACTGAGGTCTGATCACTCATCACTACACTGAGATCTGATAACTACACTGAGGTCTGATCACTCTTATCACTACACTGAGGTCTGATCACTACACAGGTCTGATGACTACATTGAGGTCTGATCACTACACTGAGGTCTGATCACTCATCACTACACTAAGGTCTGATCACTACACAGGTCTGATGACTACATTGAGGTCTGATCACTCTTATCACTACACTGAGGTCTGATCACTACACTGAGGTCTGACCACTCTTATCACTACACTGAGATCTGATAACTACACTGAGGTCTGATCACTCTTATCACTACACTGAGGTCTGATCACTACACTGAGGTCTGATCACTCTTATCACTACAGTGAGATCTGATAACTACACTGAGGTCTGATCACTCTTATCACTACACTGAGGTCTGATAACTACACTGAGGTCTGATCACTCTTATCACTACACTGAGGTCTGATCACTCTTATCACTACACTGAGGTCTGATAACTATACTGAGGTCTGATCACTCTTATCACTACACTGAGGTCTGATAACTACACTGAGGTCTGATCACTCTTATCACTACACTGAGGTCTGATAACTATACTGAGGTCTGATCACTCTTATCACTACACTGAGGTCTGATCACTCTTATCACTACACTGAGGTCTGATCACTCTTATCACTACACTGAGGTCTGATAACTACACTGAGGTCTGATCACTCTTATCACTACACTGAGGTCTGATCACTACACAGGTCTGATAACTACACTGAGGTCTGATCACTCTTATCACTACACTGAGGTCTGATCACTACACAGGTCTGATAACTACACTGAGGTCTGATCACTCTTATCACTACACTGAGGTCTGATCACGTATCACTACACTGAGGTCTGATAACTACACTGACGTCTGATCACTACACTGAGGTCTGATCACTACACTGAGGTAGAGGTGGGCGATATGGGAAAAATATCATCCCAATCCCAATTTTATCACGATTTCTTTCATACTGATACTTAGACAAATTTGTAAGTTACTGACCAGTTCAACCAAACTTATTTCCCTGTATAATGTTTTCAAATGCACAAAAACTGTGCAGACAAGTTTAATCTATTTGTAAAACATCTTTGTAGGAGGTCTGGAGGTCTCTCACCCAAAACATCTTTAGCAACAGAAATGTCCTTCCCTCAATTTGATCAATATTTATGAACAATTTGAAGGTTTTCCTCACCACTTTGAAATTATGATTTAGTTATGTGTCCTCTTTTTATGTTCATCAGGAACATTTTCACGCAGTGATGCATTCATTTAAAAACATGTAGCCTTCAAGTGTTTCTGTTCTATTTAGCCCTGCAGAGTTCCTACAGCTGTAGCTTCATACAGGCTCTGCAGCATTTGTTGTTTTTTATTACATCATTGGATTAACTTTAGTTTTGTTTATATATAATCAAACATAATACAGAATGTGTTCATTCTGTGAGACATGATCAAAGTAAGTTTTACTGACAGAAGAGTTTAATTCATAGAGGGGGCGGGACATTGTTGATTGACAGACAGACAGTCACCATGGTTACTCACTCTCACCTGCCTGCTGCTTTGTAACGTTGTTTAGTGTAATCCCTATAGGTCCCATTAACACAACAAGTGAGCTTCGGGTGGAGAGGCTTGATGGTAACTTTTAAAAACCGAGAGAGAGTAGAAAACACAGACAGCAACATTTTAAACACCGGGGTTATATCGCTCATCGCTGTCTGTCTGAGCTCCGCTCTGTCTGCCTCTCTGCAGACAGTTATCGTCTCTCCAGCTTCTTAAAAGGTTTCTTGTGTCGCTACCTGAGCTGTAAACTTAACTGTGCAAACTGTGCAGATAAGTTAACTGTTGCTCATGGCGTGTCGGTTTGGAAAAATATCAGAACAGTTGCATATAACCGGGATGGAGTTGTTTTTGTGGACTTAAGTTTCATTTTTGTTTTCACCACTGCGGAGCAAAAAAAAGGAGGGAAGGAGACGCGTCTGTGTCAGAGAATAAACTGCAGCATGATTAAATAAACACATTAGCCCGGTTCTACGATCTCCCTGTTTTGGCAGATTGTCAGCACGTTAAAATCCTTCACGATCTAATATCATTATATCGCCCACCACTACACTGAGGTCTGATCACTACACTGAGGTCTGATCACTACACTGAGTTCTGATCACTCTTGTCACGACACTGAGGTCTGATCTCTACACTGAGGTCTGATCACTACACTGAGGTCTGATCACTCTTATCACTACACTGAAAACCTGACAGCGTTTAGCATCCTCAGCACAAAGATGTCCTGTGTCAGCTCCTGTTTGTCGCTGTGCTCACAGTTGAAAAATACCTTTCAGATCAACTCTGTGCTCGTCAATGTCACTAATCCTTCATCTCCCAATCAATATCAATAAGGGACGGGACTTCTGTTATCAACATTGTCAACAACAATGGAGGGGGAGATGCTAGTCTGACAAATGTTTTCAAAGAGAACAGTTTCCAGGTGTAGAGCTGCTGCTAATGCTACAGGTTTACTTATCTACAGGGAGAATACAGAACTTACCATCACTGAAGAGTGTGTCTGAAGGAAAAACACACACTTCTTAGTAATACACACACATACACACACACACACCTCAAACTTAGACAACCCAACATGAACATTGACTCCGTTCATTTTTGACCTCAAAAATCAAATCAGAGAAGAACATCTGTCTTTAGCGGTCTCTTGTTGTTGCAAAGCTGTATTTTTCATTTTATTTCATTTATTATACAGGAAAGTTTAAAAGTAACATTAAGTTACAGTTTAACGGGCCTGACTCAGTTTAAAAACTGGTTTCCAGCAGGTTCCTGTTCTGCGGAACATGAAACATAAACCACAGTCATGACACATCAAGACAAACACATTTATAGGACATTAGCATGGGCTAGGCAAATACAGACAAATAGAAACAAACATTGCAGATACTGCGAACAGTACATGAACAATTAATGAGTGCAGGTGTAAGTGTGGAGAAGGTGTCGTTTATATGTATTTTTGAAATATGAGGTAGATGGTAAAGTTCTAATGTGATGGGGAATGTCATTCCAAATTTTGATATATGTATAAAAGAAGGACTTCCGACCACAGTTGTTTTTGTATGCAGGGACTGGGATGAGTGCCTGTGAGACTGACCTAGTGAGGCGCTCTTGTCTCATTATGTGTCAGTAGAAGTGCAGCAAGTGTTGGTGAAGTGCTGTTTTTAATCTGAAAATAGTATGTAAAGTGTGGCTGTGTATGTAATTCTGGAAAGTCAAGGCGTTGGAGCGTGTGAGTGCAGAGCAATGGTATGACCACTTTGGGAGGTTACTGTGGATCTTAAGAGCTCAATAGTACAGTCGTGCTATTGGTTCAGTAATCTCCTTAGTGGTAAGTGACCAGATTGGAAGACAGTAGGAAATTGATGAAAACACAATTGCATGTAGGTACGATTCAGAAACAGAGAAGGAGAGATATGATCTGATCTTATTATACACATAAAGTTTCTGACTGAGTTTAGTAGTTAATTTGGAGGTGTATTTGCGTTATGTAGGATGTGAATCGAGTAGCACACCAAGATATTTGGAGGAATTGTGATGACAAGATCTTGGCTTGCAAAGGTGATGGGATCAGTGAATGTAATACATTTTCTGGGGGAGTAAAAGAACATACACTCAGTTTTCTTTACATTGATAGTCAAATGATTATTTTTCAACCAATCATGTAAGAACTGAAGATCAGACGATAATTTGGAATTTATGACGTTAGGATTTGAGTCAGAGAGAAAAATAACAGTATCATCAGCATACAGTAAGCAATTTGAATATTTGCACACTTGGGGAAGATAATTGATGTATAACACTCATTATATTATGTGATATATTGTGGAACACCCATATCACAGACTAAAGGTTGGGATGACAACTTGCGACCTGTTTCTCAGATAAGAAGAAAGCATTTCAATCACAGATGAAGACAGTTTAAATGAGTGAAGTTTGTTAAGCAGGATTTGATGGTTCACGGTGTCAAAAGCTTTTCGAAAATCAATAAAAATAGCTCCAGTGATGTGACCTTTGTTAAGAGAGTCACATCACATCCCCTTATAAATCCTACCCCCCCCCCCCCCCCGACACACACACACACCCCACACCCCACACACACACACACACACAAAGTATGATGACAGACTGACCCTCCAGACTCTGTACGGGTGCTGCAGGACTGGTCTCTGCTGCTTCCTCCTTGACTTTCTTCTCTGACTTTGATTTGGACGTCTTCACCTTTTTATCCATCATGGAGGGAGGCTGGGCCACCTCCACCTGAGCACACACACACAGCAGACAGATTACCTGAGTGTAAGAGTCTCAACACGTCTTAGATTTAGAGTCAGAGGTTTAGATGTTTGACACAAAGAGGGAACATTTACTGTCCTGATCAGGTTTAACATCTGTCCCATACTGTGATGGATCAGCAGAAGTCGAGGACGTCAATCAGAAGACTGATGGACCAGGTTCAAAACTAAGACCCGACTGACTTTAATCACTAAAAGGATATGTGGAAAGGTTTAACTTGAAGGAACGTGACTTGGCTAGAAAGATGAGGTCTCACTCTGATGTTTCCGAGTGATGATATCCAGTCTTTGTCAGAGTACCGACAGCAGCACTGACCAGACAGCAGACAGGTTTTATTTGTTCTGTCAGCAGTTATTCTCAGTGATGTTTTAACCAATCACAGTTAAGAAATACAGACACCAGGAGAGACGACTGGGCTGTCAGTAGGATCTTCCTATTACAACAATCTTAAATTTTGATATGATTTCAGTAAGAATCAAACATAATTGATACCTGTTTCGATACCACTGCAACAGACAAAAACAGAAGTCTTAGGCATCCAATATTATTCAACATTTTGGCAAGAACTTTTGTTTCTCAAGGCCTTTTGGTGTCTCATTTAGTTACTAAAAACAAGAAATTCTTGAATATTGGTTAACTAGGACTTTTATTTTTGTTGCAGTTGTATCAAAAAATATATCAATGTTGTTTGATTTTTTTACTAGAATCATATCAAAGTTGAATATTTATGAACACCCTGTGGATAAATCCTGACCTGTTTCTCAGAGCGGACATCTTGAAGGGGCGGTCCTAAAGCCAGGCCTAGCAGCTGGTCAGAGTACGGGACGTTTTTCTCCACAGTGGCTCTGAACTTGTGGTCCCACTTAGCGTAGAGGATCGTTCCACCAACACCCCCACCCACCGTCACCAGACCAGCAGCTACAACTTTAGCAGCTCCACCGCTGAGGAGAGAGAGAGTGAGTATGACCAGGTATCATCTACAGTGAGGTCATCTGTGTGTGTGTGTGTATCACCTGGGCTCTCCAGCAGTGTAGTGTCTGCATTGCTGCAGGTTGTTTGGACGACATCTCCTGAAGTTCGTCTACAGACAGAAAAGAATGTCATTAATACAGATGGACAGCTGGTTCGTGCAGAGTTAAAGATTCACCTGCTACAACTACTTATGTCATTACCTGTGTGTCTACCTCTGTCTCTAACTCTGTGTCTACCTCAGTCTCTACCTCTGTCTCTACCTGTGTGTCTACCTGTGTAAATGGTAAATGGACTTAAGCTTATATAGCGCTTTTCTAGTCTTCCAACTACTCAAAGCGCTTTTACACCACATGTCACACCCACCCATTCACACATTGATGGTAGTGATGATCGCTATGTAGTATCATCCATCAGAAGTAACTAATCCCATTCATACAGCACCACCGAAGCAGCGGGAGCAATTTGGGGTTAAGTGTCTTGCCCAAGGACACATCGGACATTTGGCCAGCTGGGGATCTAACCCTCGACCTTCTGGTTGAGAAGCGACGACTCTACCAATTGAGCCACTGCCGCCACTGTGTGTCTACCTCTGTCTCCACCTCTGTCTCTACCTGTGTGTCTACCTGTGTGTCTACCTCTGTGTCTACCTCTGTCTCTACCTGTGTGTCTACCTGTGTGTCTACCCAGGTCTCTACCTGTGTCTACCTGTGTGTCTACCTGTGTGTCTACCCAGGTCTCTACCTGTGTGTCTACCTGTGTGTCTACCTGTGTGTCTACCTCTGTCTCTACCTGTGTGTCTACCTGTGTGTCTACCCAGGTCTCTACCTGTGTGTCTACCTCTGTGTCTACCTCTGTCTCTACCTGTGTGTCTACTTGTGTGTACACTCATGTCTCTACCTGGTTGTTTACCTTTATGTACTTCAACATCTGTTTCCCATTATCACAGTAATAATATTTCAGGTGATGCTTTGTATCTTTGTATTTTTATGTGAACGTCTTTGTTATTCTACTTCTTTTATCTCGGTCACTACCCAAAGCTCACGATCACAAGTGAGGGTTGAAACGCAGATCGACCTGTAAAATGAGAGCTTTACCCTCTTCATCACAAAGCCTAGATTACTGCAGAAGCTTAACCAATCAGCTCGTCAATCCCACGGTCCATCGTACCCTCACTGTGAATAAGACCACAAGATACTTGAAGTCCTTCACTTGGGGCAAAGACTCTCCCCACCTGAAAAGAGCAATCTGCTGTTTTCCAGCAGAGAACATTACTGCAGTATTTGTGTTAGACCGCCAAGCCCTACCATAGTAAATTACAGATGAACTGCCAGGATGTAAAAACTGCAGTGACGATCTCTGATATGGAAAGCAGGTAGAAGAGGAGTGAAACACATGGCTTATTTTACGTTTAAATTGTGTTTAAAGACAATCCAGTGTGACTATCTCCTGTAACTTTTCAAACAAAACTACATGAACAACGTGCAGTTCATGTCATCTTTGTAGCTGTCGTTAGCTGCACAAGTACTGCAGTCGAAGACTAGTACGGAGACACTAAGTAACCAGAAAGGTTTTCAGTAGGGTTGTTACATTAGCTGAATTTTAAACTTTGATATGAAAATAGTCAAATTAAATGATATCAAAAGGAGGAAAGTAACGATTCACTCAACTCACGATACGATACATGATTTATTTTACAAAATGAGACTGAAGACAAATGATGAGTGAACAGATTCCTTTAGGGCAGGGATGTCCGACAGCAGGTTTCATCCGGCCCGCAAAATGTTTTGGGAAGAAGGGGGAAATGTATTGAAAAACATTGAGATTTTTTATAAAATAAATATTTGTAACACGTATTTTCCCCGAATTGTATTAAAACCTATGTAAAATGAGCAATGTAAAGGTTGATATCATGGTACGAATATTAATTAAACAGGGCACTTTGAACTATTTTCTCAGCAGGGAGTAGTGCTGCAACAACGAATCGATAAAAATCGATTAATAAAAGTGTTGGCAACGAATTTCATCATCGAGTCGTTGCGTTGCACGATTAATGCGTCACTCCCTATGTCGCAGACTGGTGACGTACACGCCGAACTGTTTACATGCCGACAGCACAGCGTGCCGGAGCTAGAGCGTAACAGCGGAGTTGGTATTTTGGATATTAAACACAGCATAGCGGAGAGAACGGTTCAACCAAAATCTTCTAAAGTGTGGGAGTACTTCACAATGCATAAAAACATCAGCACCACAGTGATGATGCAGCACCTGAAAAGTAAACATGTCGGAGTCACTGCTGGCTAGGAAGGGAGCTCAACAGCAGGGTAAGTCACTACAAAATCCCATGTTTGTTCCGTTTTCAAGTAAGTAAATGTAACGTTAGTCTCTCCGGTTGCTCGGCTGGTGCTTTAACATTAACGTTTAACGTTAAATGACGGCGGTAGAGCAACTTTCTACTTTGCCAAAGCCAAACAAGCTTAGACTAAAGAAAACTTTTTATTATTTAGCCTTTTAGGCCCACTTTCAATATGTTGTCAGATATATTCTTTGCTTTTTTCCCATATTATTGTCTGTTGACATTGGAATATATTTGTGTAGGTGTGTGTTTTACATTTTATTTTAGTTCAATGTTTTTTTAAAGCACTTGGTCAGCTTGCTGTAAATAAATAAACAATTAAAAACGAATGTACTTACTACAATGATTTAATAGTTGAATGATTAAGCTTCCAGTGTTGATTTTCTGTAATAAGGTGAGAGTTAATACACTGCACTGTATGCAAGTGCATTTAGACACTTAATTAAATTTGTATAAATAAGTTTTTAGGGTACCTGTATTGGTGTAAATTATAAAAATGTGTGTTGTCTGTAAGTGCTCTTTGTGTTACTTACTTGCCTTTACATAACAATAATTCATAACTAAAACAACAAGGCATGTTGATTTGATGTAAATTGTGCTGTTTTACATACTAATACTATCTTTGTCATTGCAGAAAACATCATGTGACAGCAAGCATCCGTCTTGACAGATAGCATCCTCAACATGCTCGTCGCTGACATGAGGCCTCTGACGATGGTTGAAAATAAAGATGCAACTTCACTACAATAATCCCCACCTTGAACCCTGGCTACACTCTTCCCTCAAGGACCCATTTCACAAAGCTCATTGAGACGTCCAAGCAGTAACCTGTTGTTTTTGCACTTTTGTTTGCCCTGTCAATGAACTAATGTTCTGTTTTTGAATAAACGTGTGGAAATTCAAAATGTTTTTTATTTTTATCTGATTCATCGATTAATTGGAAAAATAATTAATTAATCGATTATTAAAATAATCGTTAGTTGCAGCCCTAGCAGGGAGTATCATAAAAGTATCATAAAAGTATCACGAGCTGCTCCTGCAAAACATTTACAAAAATGTGGACTACAAAACGATTATCGATTACATTTTTTTGTAACAGATTACTATTTAATTGTTTGCACCGCTAGTGTGAACTAAAGTCTGCCCTAGTGTTAAAGATTCACCCCGCGACCCATTGTACGGCACGTTCTGCCCGCTCGCCTTACAGACTGTAAATATTACGTTTGCCTGCCTGGGAGCTTGAGTCTGACGTCACTTTCCTGTGCCGGCCATTTCGTTTTCGAGTTGTTTTGAATTATGATCACTTTTTAGCATAAAAACGAAAAACGAAAAGCCAAAGACCTTTTCGTTTTCATTTGAATTATGTCATATAATATGCATACATAGAGTAAAAGTATAATGCAAATTGGATGACTGAATATTCATTTTAAATATAGGTCAAATAATGCACCTATGTTCTGAAAATTAAAATGTGTTTCTTTTACCGTATTTTCATTTTAAAATTAGCTTTTTCATTTGAATTATGATACAAATTTAGCGGGGCATTTTTTTTTAATGAAAAAGCAAATGTAATTTTCCTCTTCATTTTAATTTAGTCAAAAAATGGTCATTTTTTAAGTTGAAAACTAAAATTCATAATAGATAAATTAGTCATCATTCTATTTTTGAGTCAAATAATTCACCCATATTCTGAAAATTAAAAAGCATTTCTGTTATCTGCATTTTAATTTTCAAATTAGCTTTATCATTTGAATTCTGATCACTAATCGCTTCCATACCAAAATGATTCCACACCTCCGATTTAAAAGACGGTGGTGCGTCCTCATTTTCTAAATCTTGCTCTGCAGCTGCTGACCCTCAGCATATTATTGAGATTCATTTTTCAGAGTAGCAATGTGAATCTTTACATCTTGGATCAATTTATCTCGATTTTACGATTAATCTGTACATCCCGATTTTCTATTATCACAAGTTGTAGGCGAACATCTGCGCGCTGCACAAAAATATCGGCAATGTTTTGGTACTTAAAAGTTACCAATGCATTTATTAATTTAGATTGTGTGCACTGTGCAGGTGTTTACCTGCAATTTAAGATGGGTTCATTCCTCTCCTATTCACATGTCTTGTGACATACAGTAGGTGAAGTTTTTTTTTTTATCAAGTTTTGGTACTTTTCGACACTATTGATCATTAAACCGCATAGTTTTAAAACACGTGGAAACGAAAAAGTACGAGGTATCTAATTTAGAATTATAATAACTACTAACCGCATGGATAAATCATTAACCATACTAAACCCTTCTCAAGCTGTTGTTTATGCACTTGAACATGTTTTCTGCTCTACTGTATTTTAAAAAAGAAGCAAAAATAAAAACTAAACTTTAGACTCAGTGTGACAGCAGCAGATAAATGTCGATCTGACCTCCCACTGTTAGCTTACATTAGCAGTGTGTCACTGGAAGCTAACCAGCTAGCACTGCTGTTAGCTTCTGTTCTGGACACAGCCAATGTAAAGAGTCGTGTTATCTCTGACATTTAACGTCAGCTTGCATGATAAGGTTAACCCTATAAACTCCTCTCTCTGCGGCGGCACCTTGACACAGACTGCGGGTCACTGAATGACAGCACGCTAACATGCTAACATGCTAACCAGCTCACCGCGGGGAGGGAGTGGTCAGTTAGCCGAGTTAGCTGTGACTCACCCGGGCAGTGGCGTTAGCTCCCCTCAGACAGGCCCTCAGCATGGTGCTGGATCACTTTTTATTTTTAATCCGGACAGTTTTAACCTTCACAGAAACAATAGCTCTTCCCTTTTTCTCCTCCTCTCTTTTTTCTTTTCTTCTCCCTCTCTGTCCGTTTCTGGTGGCGTCAAACAAACCTGCGCTCAACACTGTCCCCTCTGGTCACAGTAGGAACTACCCCAAAACAAACCCAAGCATCTAGATACATTAGCTAGATAGATCCTGAGGGTAAGATAAGATACACTTTTTTGACCCCTAACAGAAGTCCTAGGTACCCACATAAACATTAAAAACCCCTTCCTGCAGCACTGACATATTTCACGGCCCTTTGACACTTCCTACATGACCTGTTATTCAGTATATTAAAGGATTGCAGGATCACTAGAAACTCACAGGATCCAGTAGCAGTTTACAAAACACACATGAAAACATTTGTTCAATCTTACACCACCTGCTGTCCTGCCTCTCGTATGTTTTTATAAAACCCACATGAATATTTAAAGAAACCCAGACTGAGACCAAAATGAAACCTGTACAATTAAAAAATAGACCTGTACCACTTTTACTATTTTATATTTCTTAAAAACATTTCATTCTTTTAGAGTTCTTTAAATTAATTTTTATGTCATAAAAAATTAAGTTCTTGATTTTCACCTTGGCTCATGATTGGATGACCTGTTGGTTTTATTATCGCTGATCTAGTGAACAATTTGTAACTTTGTTTTGAAAAGTGCTCTTTAATGAAAGGTCATTATTATTATTACTATGAATATAAGAAACATTCAAATTAACCCATGCAGGAATGAGAATAAAAACCTAATACAAATGTAAACACAAACTGATGTCATATCACTGTTTTCATACTGCTGGTCTGAGTGATATTTTCTTTTTGTTTCAAGGAGAAATGTAAAATATCCCTCTTTTCTTTTTAATTAAAGGGGTTGTCAGTAGAGCAGTGGTTAGTGCAAGCGCCCCATAGTGTATGTGTCTCTTTAAATGCAATGAGCCCCCCCCTGAGTTTTCCCTGTAGACATCACTCCTCTGTAGAGAGAATAAAAATGGCGGACCTGCTCAAAAGTTAGTTCTTGGTCGGTGTCTTTGTACCTGCACGTCTGGATGCTCTAGGATTCAGAAACCATTTAAGGGTTAACGTGGTTAGAGCTTTTGAACTTTAAGATAAACCTTTATTCATTCCACAGCGGAGAGATAAAGAGAGAGATGTAAACTTTGATATCCAGTGTCACAAATTATCAGACAAAAGCAGAACGTGGCAGCGGTTTGAAAACAAGATGACCTGCAGAATTCAGCAGGGAGTGAAGGCAGCACACAGCGCAGATTTAGTCATAAAATAAACGTCTACTTTCTTTTTAGGAATGGTGTTACACGGTGCTGATGACAAAGTAGTTAGGTCACGCCCCCTACTGTGGCTGTTCATCAAAAAACAGGCGTTACAACAAATGTTTAAGGTAAACAAACGGCAACTGATGTCCATATCCCGTCAATCATTTTCATTCATGATACTGCAAAACCAACCAACCTTTTGTACGGCATCTCATCCATCTGGTTAAAATCCTGTTTTCCTTCCTGGTGCATCACCGCACAGTGACATCCCCCCCACTGCCCTCCGATGTTCACAACCAAAGAAAAACAAAATAATAACTAGCTTAATAGTGGCTTCACCCCTGTAGAGGCTGAAGTCCTATCAGTGGGCTGCCCAGGTTCAAGTCTGACCTGCAGCTCTTTTTTACGGCCCCCACTCTCTTCATCTCCTCGGTCCTGTTAAATAAAGGTTTAAATGAAGTGGTGTCACTGTAAATTGCTTTAAAGTCTAACAAGTCCATCAGCGGTTCTCATACCTTTAATTAAGAGTTTTATTCAGACTCGGGACGGCAGGACGCCGAGTGGTGTGGATCTAAAAGACAACACATTAAAATGTGTTTTTCTTTCCATTTTTTATTTCATAGTTTTCACAATGAAGAAAACAGCAACATTTGTATTAAAAAACAGCCAAAGTAAAAAGTGATCAGAGCAAGTGAAAACACACTTCAGTTAAAAAAAACACACACTGAAGAAAGGAAACACACCATGTCTGATTCATTGAAATAAAAACAGTCTGGAGGTTTTTCTGTCCTGTGTGTGAAGATGAGATGAGAAGTCAGCGGAGTGAACCCGGCTGTGAAAGACTCCCTGAGCAGATTCACAATCTGGAACCTCTGTGTCAACAACGAGAAAACTTAATGTCAGCTGAGACTCACAGCACTGCGGCGCTGTGCACACCTGGAACTGATGCATTCTGGGAAACATGGAGGACAGCGCCGGGAGAAATGGATGAAGCAGGTCATTGCTGTGCTGATGAAGAGCTAAATGCCAGGCTCCGCTGTGGAGTCTGTCCGCTGGACTTTAACTGGAGTCCCCATACAGTCTTCATCCTGAGCAGGAGACACAAAGACACAGTCAGAACTGAAACAGAGTCTAGATAAAGAAGTACCAGCAGGCTTTGGTGTATGCAGAGAAACAGTCCACTCTGAGAACACAGCCTGTGGGTGTTAACGGACGAAGGAGCACAGCGAGAGCTCGTCTCTGGTGGAACCAAACACGTTGGGTTTATTATTTGACTTTTAAGGACTTGGTTTTTCTCTGGTGTTTACGATGTTGTCTCAGTCTCATCACCATACAGCCCTGCACTGCTCCTAGTAGTTAAATGCAAACTGCACCTCAAAGAGATTTAACTTCTGAGGAGATGCACAACCAGCGCTCCAAATCACTCACGATAAGCAAGGCTAATGTCAAACGTTCATGTAGTTAAAAGCAAGTATACCCAGGGCTTCCTTGCGCTGATGACGTTTATTCATCTCAAGATTTCTGCATAAAAGTCACAAAGCCAATCAGCGTTTAGATTGTCTGACTCCCTCCCTCAAATGGATCAAACAACCTTTTTAAAAGTAGTTTTCTTCTCCTCTCGAGGACAGACCTGATGAAGGATCAAACAACTTTTTTAAAAGTTGTTTTCTTCTCTTCTCGAGGACAGACCTGATTTATTTTTACAAACCTGCATCATGATGTTATTTCAGCAAACACAAGGCTCGTTAGTGTGAGTGAATTACAAGAAAACCAGGCAACAAAGAGGGTGTAGCTGACCTCCAGGGACAGGCTGTGAGTGCTGAGAGGAGCTGGGGCATCCTGGGAGTCTGACAGGGAGGGGAAGTCCAGCTCGATGTCCATGACATCATCAAGACCCAGCTCGTTTCTGCAGAAACACACAACAAACAACACGTGAACATGACACACACCTGATGAAACGCTGCACAGACGTGTTCTGTGATCCTCCTGATAAAACCCCTTTGTCTTCCTTACATGTTATGGAGGCTTTTGTCACCGCCCTCCTCTGTGGGGGGGTCCCAGGCGTGCAGCTTCACCTTCCACAGTTTGATCTGCTGGTCCCACGAGCGCCGGCTATACTTCCTGAACTTGTTGGGGGTCTTTGGGTGAACGCCGGCCTGACGCAGGTGCCTGCAGAAACAGAGAAACCACACAGAGGGGGTCAGCTTTCATCTAGATTCATAACAGACAACTTAGTAACGGTGCACTTTAAACCTCAGGCAGAACAACAAGATGGATAAATCATGCTTTAAAAGCACTTTTCTGCGCACACATTTGCGGCAAACTAGTTGAGAACCACCAGGGGTCTCACTTATAACTGTTGCGTACACACAGAACGGGGGCTGAAACTGGCCTACGCTTTTTCCCACGCAAACTGTGACCCAGGCGTACGTTCATTTTGGAGGCAGGGTAAATTGGCGACACAGACGGTGAAGTGGTGAATAGAAGCCTGCAGATACATATTGATGTATCTTCCACATTTATTTCACTAAATATCAAATTTTACTGACAGATCTACATCATCATAATCATTCAAACCCATGGTTTTATTTAGGCTATAATCGCACATGTAAGCGCACATGTAGTGAGCCCTTTCTAATAAGTCACTTTCAATATGACAATATAAACAAAAAAAATAAATAAATAAAAGTCCGCTACATACATATTGCATCAGCGCCGTCTCGCTGGACCGGACTGTACACTAATGTAATCAGTGATGTAGAGTTAAAAATAAGACTAACATGGGGCGCTGGTGGCGCAGTGATTAGTGCGCGCGCCCCATGTATGGAGGCTGTCGTCTCAAGCGGGCGGTCCGGGTTGACATCCCACCTGTGGCTTCTTTCCCGCATATCATTCCCCACTCCCTCTCCCTCTCCCTGATTTCTGACTCTATCCACTGTCCTATCTCTCCATTAAATCCAAAAATAAATCTTAAAAAAATCATAATAATTAGACTAACACAAAGACCATAGAGCCACCAGTTTTCATTAATATCTTTCAATATTGTGCATTTATCATCAAGTGTGGTTTTTAGTTTTAATAAAGATGACTGTGTCAAGACGAACAGAGACAAGGTGGTGGCTTCACACATTTCTAGGAGGACAGCGTGAATGCAGCAGCGACGGTGGTGTCATTGTCATTTTTCTTCAGTTTGTGATCCTCCTGCTTCAGTAAACTATCCATATGTCCATTTTATCCTTCACTTCATTCACAAACTCCTCCATTTCTGAATCAGAAAGTTTTGTTTCTCTGTCTAAACTTCCGGGATCCCGCACTGGAAACCTTTGCTCCGCCCCCTCGTTTGTATGCATTTTCATTCACGAGCTGCTTTGGTGGTTATTTGCTATGGTTGATTGTGGGCGTGTAGAGGGCAGAACATGGGACTAATCTACATGTGCACATTTCCAGGTGGATCGTGATTTATAAAGGGAACATTGCGTGCAGGTGTGCGTACGAACGATTTTATAAATCTGAATCATTTTTTGGTTTTTGGCGCATGTACATTTTTAGTATGGATTCTACGCACTCTTTTATAAATGAGACCCCAGATCTTTGTAAGAACATTACTCTTATGTTAAACGTGTGAGTGTGTGAACTTACTTGGGTACTTCTTTGACGTATCGGTCGTAGGCCAGCGTGTTCTTGCCGTAGTTTATCTGTTTCTGTCGCCGTAGCAACACTCCCTCATCGGTCTCCATGCTGTCTCCCTCTCTGGAGTCACAGCTGAACAGGATACAGACAATAAGCACTTCAATCTACAGTTTGTTTGTGGATCTGTATTAAGAGCCAGTATGAGGGTCAGTAGCGTACCTCCCAGAGGATCCGGAGGAGGCCCGTCTCTCTCTCTGAGTGGCGTCTCCTCCCAGTATCCTCCTCCTGTAACTGAAAACAACGACCAGTGAGTGAAGAGCAGCGTTTCATTGGACCAGACATTACAAAACTGCAAATCACAAGCAGAGTCTAGTTACCGCTGCATGTCTCTGTGTACGTCTCTCCTCATCTCGTCGTCCTCCACCTGACTGCCCCAGTCTGACCGCCGACCACAGCGAGACACGGGGCCGGCGCTCTCTGGAGTCCTGAAACTGGAGAACGACCATGGCAGAAACAGCGCGGTTACTTCATGTCACCATGTGTAGTCATGGACGTGACGTGTGTGTGTATATTCACCTGTCATTTCTGTTGTCATGTCGTTCCTTGTTGTGAGCTTTGTCACTGCCTTCTGGGTCCCTCTTGGTCCTCAGACTACCATCAACCCCTCTCTTTCTACAGTGGGACCACCGAGACGATCCATGACTCCTTAATAGCAGAGACAGAACAGGTTGAAATAATCATATACAAGCAGCAGTACTTTATTTTTTACACACCTTTATCACAAGCAGATCTACTTTGAATGATTCTACTTCTGTTTACCTCAAACTCTGAGTGTTCACAGATTACCTAAGAGCACCAAATGTAGAACTAGTCTATACACAGCCTCCAGTTTATGAATGAACCTGGATTAACATGACAGGCTGGGGCGCCAGAAGCCAAGTGGTTAGTGTGCGAGCCCCATGTACGGACGCTTTAATCCTCCAAGTGTGCTCTTTCCTCGATTTCTGACTCTGCCTGTCTCTAAATAAAGGCATAAAAGCCCAAAAATAAACAATAAATAAATACATAACATGTTGATATACTGAACAGATGAAGGAGAGTGTGTAGACAGAGGTAGGAGAAGAAAGGTGGCACAGATTTAGGGGGAAGGATGGGACAATTTTCAGCAAGTGTTGCCACAACGACAGACGAAAGGGCTAAAAGTCAGCAATTAGCACGGTCACTCTTTAAACCGACACACCGATAAATATGCATATAAGCAAGTTCATAATATGCAACAACTATTACTTTAACATGTTAAACATTAAGAATACTTGGTCTAAACCCGGTTTATTCCCGCCATTCTCCCCCTCCCCTTCCTGTTGTTCAGATAGTAAAGTCTCATCATCAAGAGCCTGGGGTGTATTGTTCACATTGGCTACCTCAGTTAAAAGCTTCACACTCAGTAGACTGTAAAACGTTATATAAACTTACAATTCAGCTATTTGAAGAGGACCGCTGCTGCAACGTTAGCTGACTTGTTGCATCTTTTTCTGGACTGACACAGGCTAACTGGGTGTTACGGTGTAAAGTGTGACCGCGCTAACCGGTGACTAGCTGAGTGGTTGATGCTCTTTCTGGCGGTTAGCTCAGTTCAGCGCCTTTCTCTTTCACACAGCTTACAACTGAACGATGCTAAGTTCTACCGTTATGTGACCTACTTTACAGACAGCCATTGAAAACACAACTTTTAAACGTTATGGGTGAATATAAAAGGGACTTAAGCTAACGTAAGCTAACACAGGAGAGCAGAATGGGACTCTTGTTGGCTCTTACTGCCAATTTAACAATCACAACGGTTACTTAAGTTATTAAAACAGACACTCTTACTCCACCACCGAATATACAACAGAAGAGGATGTTTTTGCACATTACAGTTTAAGCAAAACCCGACAAAGACACAATGAATACTCTTTAGAACGCCGTTTACAAGACCCAGAAACTCTGAGAAATCATGACTCACCTGCTTTCATGTTCGCTGCTGTGAGCTTCACGTCGTTTCTCCCTGTTCCAGTCAGACATCTTTTTATTAATAATCAGTGCAAAGAGTTGTTCAAGTGTCTCAAAGCGTCCTCACAGTAGCCTGCAAACCCTCAGATACCCGCCAACTGTGAAAGACGCGCGGCCCCAAACAATCCAACCAGTGAGGTCACCGGAAAGGGCGTGGAAACGTGGCTTCTTCTTCGTTTGCCTTTACTGGCGGTTGGCAACCATCTTAAAAGGGCATCATCGCCACCTACTGGACTGGAGTGTGTAATAAGAAAGGCCAATAAATACATAAATAAGCAAATGTAATTTATTCATTATTTATTTTTTCAAAATCCTCTTCAAAGAATAGGCAAAGCAGTGATTCCCAACTCGTCCAGCCTCAGGACCATAGACTGTAAGTATTAATGGACCACCTGTCTATCAGCTCTTCCCCACGCTTACTAGCATAACTCATATAGTTCATAAACAGTACAGTGTGTGCCGATTGAGACGTGAGCTAATCAGACCTATTTGTTTTTTTTTAACCAGGCTGTAAACATGTTAATCTGCTGTAAAAACAGGCTTTTTAGAATGGGTGTGTAAGTGACTTCCTGTGCTTCTGCAGCCAGCCTCTAGTGGACACTCGAGGAACTGCAGGATGTTGCACTTCAGCATCGGCTTCGTTTTCAACACCGGAGATTGCTGCTTGCTCAGGACCCACCTGTAACTCCTTCATGAGAAATCACCACTCAAATTTCAAATATTCTTAACCAATTAGATTTATTTGAAAATTGTACAGTTCGGACCTCAGAGGTACCAAACATGTGACAGGACAAAGAAACCGAACATAATAAGCATGTTAAATTATATTAACAATAAAAATAGATTTAATTTATATAGCGCCTTTCAATGGACCCAGGACGCATTACATGACAGAGGGACCAAACAAAGAACAAAACAAAACTGAGACAGGTATCAAAGGATGGAGCTCTAAGAGGAGGTAGACCATGTTCCAGAGGGCAGGGGCTGTGACGCTGAAGGTGTAGGAGGTCTGAGAGGTACTGAGGGGTGAGGGCATGGAGGGATTTATAAGTGAGGAGGAGTATTGGATGCAGGATACAATTGTGAGCCAGTGAAGATGAATGAGGGTTGGGGTGATGTGCTGCCAGGGCGAAATAAATCAATAAAATTGTCATGTTTCCCCAAGTTAAATTGAATTAATATGACACTATTACTGTTGGGAAGCGCGGGGTCAGTTGACTGGAGGAAACAGCAGGGGGCAGTGTGACAGCAAACTGCAGTCTGTTTCCGGCCTTCATTCTTTTTTTTACCTCTTTGGAAATATTATATAATAATAATAATAAAATATACATATATATGATATTTAAAATGTTCTGCTTCTCCTGCTTCCTCATGACGCCTCCTCTGTTTTTCACAGTCAAAGGTTTTCCATAGCAACGGTGACGCTCTCTCCTGATTGGCGGCAGCTCCTTCCTGTGTTTACCTGGTGGCAGCTAGCAGAAGCTATTTTAAACCTCACAGTGTCCGTGAGCAGTGGATTAACAGGTGCCAATTAGAGCACGCATGACTCCATAACAAGGCCTTTGTCCTTCCGTGGCCGTTTTATTGAAGAAACCTGATGTAGATGAGGAGTTTTAACGGGTTAAAGAGCCGTTGGTCGCTGCTAACGTGAGCTAACGTTCAGCTAACAGAGTGGATGTGATGCTAACAGCATATCATTGAAGAATAACTTCAGGTGTTTAGGACTGGTCTGATGTTGTGTCGTCAGGATGAAGCAGAGATGGAGGTCTGGACATCGTGTCTCGTGCTGAGTAAGAATCACCATAATAATGTAATATGTGATAATATAACGTAGCCTATATATAATGTCTTTATGATGTTGTAGCTTTAAGCCCACATCCCCCCCTCTCGTTCTCTCTCTGTCTCTCCCCCTCGCTCTCTCTCCCTCTTTCTCTGTCTCTTTCTCTTTCTGTCTCTCTCTCCCTCTTTCTCTCTCTCTGTCTCTCCCCCTCTCTGTCTCTTTCTCTCTCCTCTCTCTCTCAATTCAATTCAATTCAAATGAGCTTTATTAACATGACAGATCAACAATGTCATGTTAATAAAATGTTGCCAAAGCAGTACAGAAAACATTTTGAACAAATGATTACAATATATACAGTTAACAAATATGAATAAAAGACATTAACAATAACATGAATTATTTTTACTATGAAACATTAAGTGTATTTTGTCTCAGTTTGTGACAATCATGAACATATTTAGCAGCTCGTACTGCACACAGACTTTTCTCTCCACAGAGATAGAGCAGCTTCTGAGGATCAGGGAGATGGAGAAAGTCAGGATATTTATTATCTTCAATCTTTATACATGTCACAGTGTAGGAGGAAGTGAGATTCTGATGGCAGAGTGAACACAGCCTGGCCTCTCTGGGTAACCAGTTCTGTCTGTGACAGCCTGTTTCTATGGTCAGACTGTGTTCACTCAGTCTGTACATCGTCATGGTTTTCCTTAGTTTCACATGCCTCACTGTGCTCAGGTACTCTGCCAGCTTGTACTCTCTGTTTAGGCTCAAATAATTTACTTTGTGATTTGGTGCTTTCCTTCCAATATTTGATATAATTGTCTTTTTGTTTTGAGATAATTTGGTTGGGCCAGATTGTTTGGGGTGTGTCCTGAAGCCCTGGTGTTTGAGGGCAGAGCTTCAGGATCAGCTGGCAGAGGGGACTCTTATCTGGGTTCAACTCTTGGCACTGAAGGGCTTTGAACTGGTAGGAGTGGGGGTCACTGGATTGGAGGTGTTTATAGAATGTGATGTTAATGATTAAAGGGTATTGGCCGAGTTCTGCCCTGCATGCATTACTGGCCGTGTGTCTGTGGACTCTCAGGATGTTTCTACACAGTTCTGCATGCAGGGCGTCCAGCGGCTGTTTTTCCTATTTGGGGAAGTCTTGGTTGGTTAATGGGCCCCATACTTCACTACCATATAAAATAATTGGGGTCTATTATTGAATTGAGAATTTTGAGCCAGGTCCTAATTGGAATGTCAATCTGAATCTCTCTCTCTCTCCCCCTCTCTCTCCCTCTTTCTCTTTCTCTCTCTCCCTCTTTCTCTCTCTCTCTCTCGCTCCCTCTTTCTCTCTCTCTCTCGCTCCCTCTTTCTCTCTCTCTCTCGCTCTCTCTCTCTCTCGCTCTCTCTCTCTCTCTCCCCCCTCTCCCTCTCTCTCCCTCTTTCTCTCTCTCTCCTTCTTTCGCTCTCTGTCTCTCTCTCCCCCCCCTCTCTCTCCCTCTTTCTCTCTCTCTCTCTCTCTCTTTCAAAGACTGTAAATATAAATGATTATTGGTTTCTGTTTATACTCTCTGATCAATCAGCTGTAGATTCTCCTGTCACTGTTTTTCTCTTTTATTTTGACTTAATTCTCAAATGTTCAAATCTCTGAACTGTTTTTTTTAACAGGTTATCAGGTCAACATCACATGTTTTGGTACTTGAGTGCAAACGATGAAGTAAGCACGATAACCTCTCCAACCGACCTGCTGATACAAACTGATAAACTCCATGAATATCCATTATGTGGGATGTTGGTGGTGCTGAAAAACTGGCAAATGAGCTGCCAGAACTAGAGCAGTTGGGGGTTCGGTGCCTAGCTCAAGGGCACATCTGCAGTACTTGGGAAGTGACCTGGCACCTCTCCGATCAACTTCCAACAGACTGAGCTACAGCCGCCCCATGACAATAAACATCCTTAATGTATCTCTTTAAAATCAGACATACATGTATATAAACATGAATATCCATAACATGAGCTGACAGTAAAGAACAGGGTCGTTTAGTGACTATTTTTCTGTTAGGGCTGGCTCGATTTAATCAATAAGTCATATTTTTGGAAATTAAAATGTTTGTTAAAGAGAGCAGAGTGAAGCTGAGTCAGTAATTCTGTGTGTGTGTGTGATTCTGATGATGTCTCTGTTTGTTTGTCTCAGCTCTGCTTCTTCATGAGAGATGGATCACAACAACACAGAGCTACTGAGAGACCCCGGAGGAGAGCACGGACTAACAGGTGACACACACACACACACATGCGCGCCTTCTTTAAAGTTTAAAGACTTATTGACTGTCATAATGTCAAACTAAAGCAGCTTATATCCTCACTTTGCTTTAAAAAAATGACTGAAACAATAAAATAATATAACCAGAAAAAAGAAATAATTAATCAAGTCATTTTATTAAATGTTCAAATCTTTATGAAATGTATTTAAAAAACATAAAGTTAGTCTCTTAGCTGCTGTTCCTCCAGTGCCCACTAGGGGTGTCTCCTGAAGTGAGTCAGTCCTCATAGAGCCCCATGTTAAAATGTTTTTATTCGTCCTCAGAGGTTGTGTTTCTCTTTCCTGTTTAAGTTTTCATGTCGTCATGTTGGAGTTCAGTTTGTTCCCACTCTTTATCTTCCTGAGCACAAACACAGAGTGTGTACTGGTTTTCTGATGGTTGTGTATGTGTTTGTGTCTATTTCAGACCGGGTGACGCCCGAGTCCTTCAGTCCAGAAAAGGAGCAGGTTAGTTGTTGTTGTTTTTGGGGTGCTAAGGATGTAAAAATGTAATTGTTAATGAATGGATTAATTATTATTTATTAATGGAATAAAACATCTAACAGACAATTTAAATCAATTTGACTAAAAGCATGTTGTAATACTTTATTTTAACCAGCAGAGGACAGTATCTGCTTCTCATCACCGTCAGTAGCACCTTTATAACCTCAAAGTTTAATAATAATATTGATAATTATGTTTGAAAAATTAAAAAAAAGGATGTCTGTGTAGATTCTCATCGAGGTCATGGAGAATATGAAGCTCGATCCTAAGGCAACTAGAGAGTAAGATGGAAGAAGTTTCCCCTCTCCGCATCCAAAAAACTAACTGGTGGATGTAGTTAGTGATCAACTCTGATGTGTGTCATCCTTGATCATTAGCATGCAATTTCATGTGTAACTGATCACTAACATGTTTTGATGTTTTATTGTTTTAGAGGAGAAACTGCTCGGTGACGGAGGATCTGAACTCGGACGGTACTGTGAACACTCACACACAAACATTTCAGTACCGGATCGTATCAATGTATTTGTGAATTTAAATGTGTGTCAGTGATTTCTGCAGTCTGCTCACACTCTTGTCATGATCCTGTGTCCCCTCCCCTTAGGGTCGTGGTCTCAGAGCTCCATCTCCCGCTCCCTGCAGCGGGCGGAGTCGTTACTCCGGAGCACCTTTAACCCGAGTCTTAAGTGGCTGTTTCAGGTTCGCAGTCAGGATGACGAGGACGAGGGAAACTTTGTTGTCGCACACAACCTGGTGTCCCGCTCGTCTGCACGCCTCCTAAGGCTGCAGCAAGCTCTGCTCAATGTGGCCCCCCAGTGGCAGCCTGTGGGAGGGGTACCGACAGGATCTGCACAGGTGAGTCACTGCAGGACGCCAACAGGTGAAAATACCATGAGAGGAGGAAGAAAGGAGACACTTTGAATCGTGAGAGCTGGTGTAAGAAGAGTTATGAGAGTCCACTTTCCCTCTTCTTTGTCCTCAGGTGTGTGTTAAAGGTCCCCCAGGTGAGGGCGGGCTGCTCCTACAGGCCTCCTCCCCCTCCCTGCAGGAGGACTACCTGGCTCTGAGGAGGCTGCAGGGGCAGCGCTCTTTGCTGCTCTTCGTCCACGAGTTCAGCAGGAGAGCTCACCTGGCAGCTGCATTCATATCAAGAGTCACACACCTGCAGCTGGCTCAGGTAAGAACCACCTGCAGGAGAACCACCTGCAGTAGAGGCATTGGAAACATGTAGACAGATGAATTAGTGTCAGCCGGTCTTTTGAAACTCTGAATCATAACTGGACTCCTCTAATTCCTCTCTCCCCCCCCCCCCCCCCTTCCTCCGCTCCCTCCTCTGTTTTCTCGCCCTTCTCCTCTTAGACCCAGTGTAGCTGGTCGTCCTTCCGACCCTGTCTTGTCTCTCTGGTTCAGGAGTTGCGGGTCCATCTGAGTCACTGGTCGAGTCTGTTCTCTAAGGTTCGGTCAGACCCGGACCTGAGACTCGTGGTGGTGCAGCAGACGCGTCTCCTGGAGGCGGTGCGTAGGAGTCTGGACCTGCTGGCTCTCCAGGCTTTGGTCCTGATGGAGCGGTTAGTGTTCCTGGTTCTGAGTGCCGTGGTCCGGTCTGACCTGGACTCTGTACCCAAAGAGGTCCTGGAGGATGTGTTAGGAGGTGCTGATCTGTATAACCAGGCTGTGGGGGAGCAGAGAGTCCAGCACAACGCCACCCAACTGAGGACTGCAGTAATACATCAGGCCCAAACCCCCACTCTGGGTCCTGGTCTTCCTCCAAGCAGGGGGCGTCACCCTGCAGGTGTGGGGGTCAAAGAGTTGATGCTTCTGTTAGCGGAGCGTCATGCAGAGCGGGCGACTCGACACCTGCTGAACACCTGGACCTGTGAGCAGGTGTGTCAGGTCCACAGGATCCAAACAGGTCCTGACCCCCCTGATCAGGGGGTCCACTGTGGGACCAGGACTCTGAGGGCTGATTGGACCTGGGAGCAGCTTCAGCACACTCACCTTGCAGCCTACATTACCCATCAGCCCTCTCTGCAGCCCTCTCCTCCACACACCTCCTCTCTAAAACCTCCTCCAGACCTTCACCTGGACCAGGAGAATCAGCACCAGGTATCCAAGAAGACCTCAGTCTCCGTGGAGCTTCTGGTTCAGCTGCTGGTCTCCTCAGGTAAGCTGCTGGCTCCTCTGACATCACAAATACCTGAACACCTGAGTCTGGATACAGGATCAGAGGAGAGACCACCTCAGGGGAGGACTTTACCTGCTCAGGTCGGCAGTCCAGAGCCTGGGGAGTCCAGTAGACCTCGGTCAGACTTGATCCAGTACCAGCAACCAGAGAACAAACCAGCACCAGAGACCAAGAACAGGTAAGAAATACCCGCTCAGTGTAAGTTCAATCGTGGTCTCGTCTCGGGCTGCGACTGTTTCAGACCCAACCTCAGGACTAAATATTTAGTCAGGGACGCAGTGCCACAGCGGAGTGGGTATGATATGTGACTATAGTGTACGAGAAGAAATGTTTGACATTTTAAACATAGTGATCAAGGTCCTTTCCCCCATGGCTTACTGAATACAACAAGCTGAATGCAAAACATATAAGCCCTCACTTATCAAACGTACATATGGCAGAAAAATGGGTGTACGGTCATGCAAAGTCCGGCACTTATCAATTTGGACGTGAGCGGAGGGTATGCTCAAATCTCACACCAGGTCTCAGTTCGTGTATGCACGTTTTCAACTCAGTGTGGACTTGCGCTGCAGCGAATCTGTCTGTGTTGGAGAATAATTAGATCATACTATAACAGTGCTTGTTAAGAAAGGCAGATAGAGGTTCACAGATTTACTGTTAGATAAGATATCTAAAATATATTTTATATTACGCTCCACCTCAAACGATCTCTGTAGACTACATTGCTTTTTAAATAATGCTGAGCAGCGCAAACTGTCAGGTGATTTATTTAGTTGTGTGTTTTATTTGATTAATTTTTATTTGTTTAATCGATTTACTTTAAAGATTAAAGATAAGAGAGGCTGCTTTCGGTAATTACATGTTAAACGTTCATGCACACAGGAATATCACTGCAGAAAATACTGAGACAAATTAAAACAGAAAAACTAAAAACAGTTAGCCTACTTTAAAAGGTCAGAAAAACTTCCACAGGATACTAAATACAACTTTTAGCCTCTGAAATATGAAATATTTAGGAATTCAGAACATTAACATTAGATCATAACTAATCTGTATCTGTATGTCTGGAGAGTAAACTAATAAATACACTGATGTGCCACATGCGTAATTGCGCACAGCAGACGCACTTAGGCCAGAGACTACATGTGACATAATAACAAATAAAGAAATCCGGGGGCTGTAAGACGGAGTTAGGACCTTCTTTTATGCAAGTGTTAAATTCTTATGTTTGGAAAGAAGGCTAATCGGATGAGAAGTGCACATTGCACAGCGTTTGAACAAACACTTTATTCATGTGATGCAGGACGTTTCAGGTTTCTCTTCTCTTTTAAAGTCTCATAAATGGCGAGATGCCAGTGCAGCCGACATTATCCGACACAGATGCAGGTTCACCTGTACCACTTGTACCATATTGAGGCTGAACCGATGAAAGAAGCCACTCGCTCCACGATCTGGGATTATTTCAGGTGGGGTCCGGCTGGCGTCCTCCGGTCAGATCCGAGAGCTGCTTCTTTTAAGACCCGCAACACTAGGCTACATTGTAGCGATCGTTTGGTCTGACCAGTTTTTTTAAACTAAAAGTATTTAAAAAAATTATATTATAGCCTAGATTATGTACGTTACATATCAAATTAAATTAAATATTAAAAACTCCGCTGGAGTTCGATTATCCACACCAACGCTGTTGAGATTTCATGCAGACGCATTTCTTCTGAAGCGCTCTAAGCCTACATTTCAGGCTGCCAGACAACACGATGTTATTCCTCTTTACTTTTCTCTGTTATGGTGTCACTCAGGTCATATCTCGTTTCTCTTCTTTGCCGTATTAAGTATCTCCATGCCGTAAACTCTGAGGGTGAGGACAGCTGAGCCGTGAATATATAGGGGCGTGGTATTTAAATGACGATCGTTTCCAGCCGACACACTTATCAACACCCGGTCTTGCTTACGCTGTGATCAGCCAGATACGCACGTTTCATAGGTCCCACATGGACCCTGTCGTACGATGATTTCTACACCCAAATCTGCGCTGGTTTCTACACCAGATTGATAAGTGAGGGCCATAGAGTGGAAGTTAATGCTGTGGCTGTCTATTTCCAGCTAAATGGGGAGGGGGGAGTGTGAGGGGACCCAATGACTCAACACGGCCTATGGGTCCACATTACCTGTAGAAAGAAACTGCTCAAATCCTGAGCTTCGTTGAGCCCATGTGGTTTATTTGTGTTTGGTTCATAAATCCAAAATGCCTCCTTTCTTAAAGAGTTGGTTCATCAAATTGCCCCCTCTAGGTTTAGGCTTCACTCTTTCAATGCCATTGAACTGGAGGGTGGTGGTAGTAGACCATGCTCTTTCTCCTCTCCGAGCATGAGGAAGCTGCAGGCGAAACGCGATGTTGGCTCACAATAGAATACAGTAAAATCATTTTCAGGGTGCCACACTTTATTGATCTATTTTTCATGGTATGTTCCTGGAACCGTGAGCACCTGAGAATTTATAGGCTGCGTACCCTGTAGGCCATTTTGTTTTATTATGTATGTTAATATTAATTAACCTCTTTTTCCCCCTAAACCAACAAACGAGACCACAGACCTCCATCTGAGATTCATTTAAATGTTTTTAACACCTAAAGTGAACAGATTCACATTCTCTTATTCCGTTACTTAAAGATGAAATTATATTATATCTTGACTTCAGCTCAGGTGCTGGGATAGATGCAGACACAAACCCAGAGGTGGAGCCTGCTGAGCGGCCTGGTTGTCTGCGCTGGTCCCCGTCCGTGCAATGGTTGGACCTGGGTCAGTCTGAGCTGTTTGCTGAGGTGTTGGGACAGTATCGCACCCTGTTGGTGACTCTGTGCAGCAGAGCTCTGTGGCTGCAGCTGATAGCCCCCCCACTACCAAACTCTGCAGGAAGCATCAACCTCCAGGACACCCCCACCAGGATTAGCATGCTGAGCAGAGTCCAACAAGCTGCAGAGACAGGTGAGACGACTAGAGACAGGTGAGACGACTAGAGACAGATGAGAGGACTAGAAACTGGTGAGATGATTAGAGACAGGTGAGTGGACCAGAGACAGATTAGAGGACTAGAAACTGGTGAGACGACTAGAGACAGGTTAGAGGACCAGAGACAGGTGAGACGACTAGAGACAGATGAGAGGACTAGAAACTGGTGAGGCGACTAGAGATAGATCAGAGGACTAGAGACAGGTGAGAGGACTAGAAACTGGTGAGACGACTAGAGACAGGTGAGAGGACTAGAAACTGGTGAGACGACTAGAGACAGGTGAGAGGACTAGAAACTGGTGAGATGACAAGAGACAGGTTAGAGGACCAGAGACAAGGAACCTGGTACAGAGACAGGCCACAGGACTAGATACAGGTAAGAGGACCTGGGAACTCATTACCTGAGCAGGTATTCAGAAGACTGGCTGACTGTGTTTTCATGTGTGAGTTTCTGTATGTACTACATGTTTATCATGGTGTCCTCTGCTCTGTCTTTTCATGGTTTGTTGTAGATTTGCTTCCAAAGGACCTCAGGACCATGCTGGAGGGATTCAGTCTGTATCTGTTGGCCTTCACTGCACATGCTCAGTGGGACTATGGTAAGTAGACACACAGAGATGTGTGAATGCAGCAGTAAGAATAAATGAATTCAAGAACATTTACTGACTAAAATCAGAGAACTAAACGCTGAAGGTAAAATATGGGAATTCTGAATAAAACCGTTTCTCTGTCAGAGGTGTGCAGGAGTTTAGGCTCCGCCCTGAAGGACAAGTGTCTCACAGGAGTGAACCACCATTTGGCCTGTGAGCAGAACAGAGGTGTGATGGTGTCACCCACCATGAAGCACTTCCTGTGTCTGCCCCCTCCTCTGATGTCATCACTGAGCAGCTGTCAATCAAACAGCAGGAGCTCAGGTAACAACACACCTTCAGGTAATCCTTCTGAGTGTGTAACATCTTCTTCATCAGTGAGCAGCTTCACCACTGTCCAGAGTTTATTTTTAAAATAAACAAACTATTCAGAACAGACGAAAGACTGCCCTTCAGGTGTTTAACATCCCATAATAATCATTTCACAGAAAGGACACACCCCCTCTCTCTGTCTCCCCCCTCAGGTCCTCTAAGCCTCTCCCCCTACAGGCTCTCTCTGCACAGACACACTGTTAGCTTAGCATTAGCCACAATGCAGCTGTCCACAAACTGGGTCATGTCCAAGTCTTACCAGTTCCTGTCGTCATGGAGCCTCAACAAGTTCCTGCTCGTCACCCAGGGAGACCTCAAAGTATGTGACTCATTATGTACACACACACACACACACACACACACACACACACACACACTCTTCATAAAAACACATATTATAGATCAGACTTTATACACATTACTGAGCAGCGGGTTTGTCTTTTTTTAAAACGTGGGAGACATTATAATCCTTTAAACACAAAACTAGACGACGTAGCCAGACCACGAGACCACACACCTGCCGTTTGTAGAAACAATTCTAAAGACACGAGATCTCACAGAAACTCACATGATCAAACGTGACTTCACGAGACAAACAAATATGATGGACGATGGGCGTGGTCAACCGGCTGTGTGGTTTGTCTTCATTATTCCACAAGCTGCTCTTCTTCAATATTCCACTGGGCTCGGGGCTCAGTTGTGTTTGTGATCCCTGCCATGTTTGATGCAGTGAAGATTACCGTACTGACATCAAACACTTGAGGATAATGGACAAATAATCTGACACGACAAACCTTTCATTGGGCCACGCCATCCATCATTGGGGAGGACAAATTAGGCCTAAAATCGTCTAGTGTGTTGGCTGCCCAACACGAGGACGGTGTTAACTTACTCTTTATCAGAGCAGCCTGGTGGTTTTAGACTTTATATAATGTGTGTGTATCAGAGCTCACCCCTCTGTCCCATTCAGCTCAGTTGTTGTTTGTAAAGATTTGTGATCACTATTGAAGTTAGAGTTCTGTCATACTGTGCTCATACTTAGGGACTTTGCCATGTCTTGTGTTTTTTCTATTCAGGTTCTCACAGAGACTTTAGAGCTGATGCTTGGTCAGTTTCAGTCCCTGATGAAGACCCACAACAGTCAGTCTGCTCTTCATCACCATCATCATCAGCTCCTGCTGAGGAAACAACTCAGAGATCTGATCTCAGCCGTGTCTAAGCTGCAGGTGACCCCTCTGACTCACTAACACATTACACACCTCTGATTCCAGCTTTCGTCTTTCTGCATTCATATTTATTCAACGGCATAATATTCTTCTCCCAGTCTGTGGAGTTACATTGTGTTTTGGCACTGCAGAACAACTGCACAGCGGAGCTCCACATACACACAGTCAGTCCATCACTGTACAGTCGTCATGAAGACAGAAATTAGCTGGAGTTGGACATTTTAACATGGGGCTCTATGGGGACTGACTCACTGCAGTAGACAGACTCTAGTGGACACTGGAGGAACTGCAGTTATTGGTACTTGACCTTGCTCGTGATTATCCAATCGTGTGTGTGTGTGTGTGTGTGTGTGTGTGTGTGTGTGTGTGTGTGTGTGTGTGTGTGTGTGTGTGTGTGTGTGTGTGTGTGTGTGTGTGTGTGTGTGTGTGTGTGTGTGTGTGTGTGTGTGTGTGTGTGTGTGTGTGTGTGTGTGTGTGTGTGTGTGTGTGTGTGTGTGTGTGTGTGTGTGTGTGTGTCAGACGTTCTCCGCAGTGGTTCTGAAGACATTCTCTAAAGACTGTAAGAGGATGTCGGGGGAGATCTTTGAACAGATGATGCCTGCTGCTGTTCATTGGAGACTTCACCTCAGGACAGGTACTACAGCTGATAGTGACATAAAACGATAACCATATGATTCTCATTATTTAGAATTTGGTGTCATGGTAACAAACGGCAGCCGTCAGATTGAAATGTTTTAAATTCAGCATCATTCAGCTTTTCACAGATTTTTTTTTTTTTTCTCTCCTCCGTATGTGGGATGTTTTTTTTGTCCCCAACATCAATACATGATTCTTTTCATCGCATGGACCTCGGTGCCTTTAGATGTTGTGTTCAGCTAATAGGCTAATAGGAGAGCTGTGTCTCTGTGTGACCCGTCAGACCTGCAGCTCCACAGCCAAGACACAGACAGACAAATGAAAGGGACGGCAAATACCGGCTGGCTTTTTTTAGTTTCTGTGTTTTACAGTGTTTCACAAATGTATTAGACCACCTGTCATAAAAACAAGAAAACATCAATATTTTAGAAATCTTTCAAAATCTTGTTGAAAAAGAAAAATGTTGTCATTATTTATTTGGTGAATAACAAACTGAAACAACTAAATATTCCTTTTTCACACTTCATATTTTGATTGTCTTCCTTTGGTCTTGATAACAGTATGCATTGTTGCTGGCATTGTTTTTACTTTTCAACAGTCTCTTTTGTTATTGAGTCCCAAATAGTTTCTAGCTGTTCCCACAGACTTGCTTTAGATCAAACTTTTGTGCGATCAATCTTTGAATCTACTAAATCCAAAATATGTTCAGTTGGATTCAAATCAGGACTTTGACTCGGCCAGTCCATCAGTTCCAGTCCTCCAGATTCAAATAGTCTCTGCACAGCTTTGAAGTATGGACTCAATGTCCTGTTACTATATGAACCCAATTTCAAACTGAATTCCCATTTTTAGACCCAAATTTGAGCCGGCTCACTGGGCTTCTCTGAGAAGTCAGAAATTAATGAATCATTCATTCAACCACTAAAACACATTTTTCTGTTCAGAAAGTAAATCACTTTCATATGACATCTTAACGAAGAAATAATAATGTGCTTTACTATTTATTTTGTAAAACAGTACATTTGAAAATTCATAGATAAAAATATCAATGATATTTTACCATTAAGAATATCATTTGGGTTAAAGAGCTTCTACATACTGATGATGTATTAACCATTACAGAAACATAAAACATGATTTGGTAATTACCAATGCTTTTCATTTAGGGCAGCTGTGGCATAAACCTTACATTGGGTGGTGGTCTAATAACTTTATTAAGCACTATATTTCTATATTTTTTCACACAGACACTTTTATTAGCAGCAGATAAGAACGGAATTTCATTGCATTTGACTCGTTAGTGCAGGATAAAAACAGCAGCAAGTATTTACATAGAAAAATAAGGTGCAGATATGAATAGATATAAAAAGAAAAGGTATGTATAAAATGTCTATACAGATAAATATATTGCACGTTTGTGATGTATGTTATATTGTATTTTACAGTCCAGTGAGATGGTCCTGTGTGGGGGTTTGAGGGGGAATGGAGGGATTATTTTTTTGTGTTCAAAAGTCTTATGGCCTGTGGGAAGAAGCTGTTACAGAACCTGGAAGTTCTGCTTTGGAGGCTGCAGAACCTCAGGGTCCAGCAGCGAAAACAGTCCTTGGTGGTCGTGGGAGGTGTCTCTGCTGATTTTCTGAGCCCTGGTCAGGCAGCGGATTTTTGCGATCTCCTGGATGGGAGGAAGTGGAGTCTGAATGATCTTTTCCGCCGTCCTCACCACTCTCTGCAGGGACTTCCAGTCGGAGGCACTGCAGGCTACGGACCAGACAGAGATGCAGTTATGCAGACATGTTATGATGCTCTCTATAGTGCCTCTGTAAAAGGTGGTGAGAATAGGAGGGGGAGGTGTGCTCTCTTCATCCGACGCAGAAAGTGCATGCGCTGCTGTGAAGGGACCAGGTCAGAGTGTCTGTTATCTGCACCCCCAGGAACTTTGTGCTGCTAACTCTCTCCACTGCTGTGCCGTTGATGAGGAGTGGTGTGTGGCTGGGCTGGCGCCTCCTGAAGTCGACAGTGATCTCTTTGGTTTTTATCGACGTTCAGGGCCAGGTTGTTGGTTCTGCACCAGGCAACCAGATGTTTCACCTCCTCTCTGTAGTCCATGTCGTTGTTATCACGGATGAAGCCCACTACTGTTGTGTCGTCTGCAAACTTCACGATGTGGTTAGTAGTGGTCCTGGCGCAGCAGTCATGGGTCATCAGGGTGAACAGCAGCGGACTCAGGACGCAGCCCTGAGGGGAGCCGGTGCTCAGGGAGATGACACTGGAGGTGTTATTGCCCACCCGCACAGAGTGGGGTCTGTTTGTGAGGAAGTCAAGCAGCCAGTTACATAGGGGGGTGCTGAAACCAAGGGGGGCCAGTTTGCTCACCAGATGCTGTGGGATGATTGTATTGAACGCCGAGCTGAAGTCCAGAAACAACATCGGCACATGTGTGTCCTTCTCTTCCAGATGTTGTAAGCCCAGGTGGAGTGCAGAGGAGATGGCATCCTCTGTGGAGTGGTTAGGGCGGTAAGCAAACTGGTACGAGTCGAATGTGGGGGGAAGTCTGGAGACAATGTGGTCCTTTACCAGCCTTTCAAAGCACTTCATCATAATAGGGGTTAGTGCTACGGGGCGGGAGCATCATTGAGTGAGGAGATTGTGGATTTTTTAGGCACTGGTATAATTATGGCAGTCTTTAAACATGATGGTACCACAGCCTGGATCAGCGAGGTGTTGAAGATGTCTGTGAGAACCCCAGCCAGCTAGTCAGCACATTCCTTAAGCACCCATCCCGGTATGTCGTCAGGGCCCGCTGCTTTCCGGGTGTTCCCTTTCCTCAGGGTTCTCCGGACATCAGCTGTGTCCAGGCTGATTGGCTGCTCATTGTCACGGGGGGGGCGCTCTGCCTGTTTTTAGTGCCACCATGTTGCAAGATTTAAAAGTGTCATTACGGGCTTTCAGCATTCCATGTACATCACAATAACATCCTCCATGCACTTCTGAATGTATGCAGACACAGACTCGGCATACACCTCCACACACGTGATGATTGTCTGTAGCAGCTTCCTTGAACATGTCCCAGTCCGTGCATTCAAAGCAGTCCTGTAATGCTTCCATAGCTCCCTCAGGCCAGGCCCTCACTTGCTTCACTGTGGGGTTTTTCCTGGTCAGCAGGGGCTTGTATGCAGGAATTAGCATCACAGAGAGATGGTCTGAGGAGCCATAGTGGGGGCGGGGTGCAGCCTTGAATGCCTTTTTGATGTTGCTGTAGGCCAGGTCCAGCGTGCTCCCACCCCTGGTTGCAAAATCCACATATTGATGGAAATGAGGAAACACAGTTTTCATGTTGGCCTGATTAAAGTCCCCTGCCACAATGAAAGCTCCCTCTGGATGTGTAGATTGCAGTTCACTGATGGAGCAGTATAAAACATTTGGGGCTTCTCTGGTGTTTACACTGGGAGGGATGTACACTGCTGTGAAGATCATAACAGTGAATTCCCGGGGTAAATAAAAAGGCCTGCATTTTATAGTCAGTAGTTCTACATCAGGAGAGCAGTGACATGAGACATGAGATCTCACCGTTGTGGCACCAGTTGTTGTTGGTGTATATGCAAACACCGCCGCCTCAGGATTTACTAGTGAGAGAGCTGCTCCTATCCGACCGAAATAATGTTAGCCCCTCTATGCTAACTGCCTCATCTGGAACGGATGGTTTTAGCCACGTTTCTGTGAGAAATATGGCGCAGCAGTCTCTCATCTCCTGTTTTGCAGTTCAATCCAGATTCAGGTAGTCCAGTTTGTTCTCCAGGGAGCGAACATTAGAAAGCATGATGGAAGGAAGCGGCGTTCTGTGCGGGTTAGCTTTTAGCTTGGTTGCTAGTCCCGCTCGGCATCCCCGTTTCTGCTTCCAGTCACACTGCTTCCGTCTCCTGGTACAAGGCTCCACTGCTTCACAGGCCGCTGGATGTAGCCGGCGTAGTATTCCAAGGCTACGTAGAAGGTCCAGAGTGGTCGCATCTACCAATCTTGAACTGTTTGATTTACCTAAAACTAAAACTGGCGGTCGTATACTACTTTGGAGTAACTACACTGCAGGTTCACGTATCAGAACTGACTGGGTAATTTGCCATTATATTCCTGTTGCTATCACGAGCCACTGCAGCCGCAGCCGAGCAGGGCGCCGCCATCTTGGATAACGTCAACATGTACAGAACACATTTTTAAAAAGTGATGATCAGGACATTTGAAGGAACACCTTATTGTGTAGTAATAGTTGTATGTCTGTGTGGGTGTGTGCAGGTTTTCCCAGCAGTCCCAGTGACTACACCTCAATGGCAGCTCAAGCTGTGATTGGTCAGGTGTTGGAGGGCGTGGCTCCGCTGTCTGATGACGCTCGTGTGCAGGCTCTGAGCATCACCATGACGGCGTTCATGGAGGCGTGGATGGAGCACATCCTCAGACACAGGATCAAGTTCAGGTCAGTCTCTAGTCTCATTTAATCGAGTCCTAGTCTGACTCAGACGTGTTGTAGTCTGAGGTACACAGCTCCACAGCAGCAGCGTCAGAGAGGCTGAAGTGACTGAAAAGAAGAAGCTTTAGAGTGTTTCTGGTGAACAGCTTTACTGCTGATTTATAAGATCTGAGCTCCGCTTACATCAGGTGAGAGTCAGAGTTCAGCTCAGCAGCCAATCACAGGGCTGATACTAAGAGACGGAACAAAAGTCACACCTGCCATCAGTGAACCTGCATGATTGGACGCTGCTGCAGAATCTACACAGACATGACAACAACGTGTGTGTGTGTGTGTGTGTGTGTGTGTGTGTGTGTGTGTGTGTGTGTGTGTGTGTGTGTGTGTGTGTGTGTGTGTGTGTGTGTGTGTGTGTGTGTGTGTGTGTGTGTGTGTGTGTGTGTGTGTGTGTGTGTGTGTGTGTGTGTGTGTGTGTGTGTGGTTCAGCAGGAGACCTGTTGCCTTTTCTCCTCTGTATATTATTATCGGGTGTAACAGTACACAGCGGCCATGGTTCAGTACGACTTGTTATTTATCATATGACTTCATGCACTGAACTGTGACGTCCGTAACATGACGGTATAAATATATTTATTGATCAGTGTTGCTCTCCTCAGTGTGCAGGGAGCTCTGCAGCTGAAGCAGGACTTTGACTCCATCAGAGAAATGATCCAATCAGAGCAGTACGGACTGTCAGCTGATCTCCACCACAGGCTGCTCAGTCTCAGGTACCAAACAGCTGTGATTGATATCTACAGCTCAGTGTAATGTTGTAAATTGACCCCTGTGTGTGTGTGTGTGTGTGTGTGTGTGTGTGTGTGTGTGTGTGTGTGTGTGTGTGTGTGTGTGTGTGTGTGTGTGTGTGTGTGTGTGTGTGTGTGTGTGTGTGTGTGTGTGTGTGTGTGTGTGTGTGTGTGTGTGTGTGTGTGTGTGTGTGTGTGTGTGTGTGTGTGTGTGTGTGTGTGTGTGTGTGTGTGTGTGTGTGTGTAGGGTCTTTCAGCAGGTGGACTCTGCTGTGGTGTGTCTGCTGCAGCAGCCTCAAGCTAAGCCATACCTGCAGTCGAGAGCGTGGGAGCCGTTCACACACTGCTGTGAGTATCAAAGATCACTTTAAGAACGTCTGAGGATCAGAAACACAAGATCCATCTTATTTCTGACAGAGATGCAGATTTCCACTACTATGATAAGTAATGAATAAAGTGTGTGTGTGTGTGTAGGTCCAGCTCACGGCAGCAGAGACAGCATTGACTCAGTGGTGGGCAACAGTATAACTAACCTCAGATGTATGGAGGGGGAGGAGCTAAATGACCCCACTGTGGTGACCTCAGACCTCCCTGCTGTGGACCCCTCCACCCCCGGAGAGCCCTACCTGGCCCCCAGGTACATACAGCCTCATACCTGTGTGATGTGGACAGGTTTTTGTCCTCATAGAGTCTGTGTTCGAAGTCTGTGAGACGGTTCTCACACCCGTGTGATCTCATGTGGTCTTAATGGTCATGGTGCCGCGCTAGTGGCAGCCTGTTGCAGCAGCTCCGGTTTTGTCTTGCGTTTTAAGTGTTTTTAAAGTGTTTTGTTACATGTCAAGTCACCTGTCGTAGCCTATGAGTTAGTCAAGATAGACACTAGTGGCTTAGTCGAGTTTTATTAGTTTTTACCGTTTTTGTATATTTTTTCGTGTCGGGACAGTATGCCAACACATACTAACGGTATTGTTTACACGCTCGACCAGCTGTTAGTGCTCTCCAAACCACTACCTTTGACGGGAACGAGACACCAAATCCCAGAGGAGCTAAGGAGAAGACGCCGAGGATGCAGAGCCGGTGTTCTAAGGAGAGCCCTGCATCCCCTCGATTGTCATGGGGAATGTGAGGTCGCTGGTGAACAAGGTGGATGAACTCGGAGCACTCATAAGATCACTGCGTGAATACCGAGAATGCAGTTTAATGTGTTTCAAACACAACAATGAATGGATTTATGACTGTACGGGCTGATCAGGCTGAGCGGTAAGGACAGAGGAGGGGGGCTTGCTCTGCTTGTGAATAACCGATGGTGTCATCCTTCTCACATTAATGTAAAGGAGCGCATTTGCACCCCTAACATCGAACTGTTAGCCGGTAGTCTGCGCCCATACTATCTCCCGAGGGAATTTACCTGTGCTGTTGCCATTGTTGTTTACATACCTCCGTCAGCTGATGCCGACACAGCATGTGACGTCATCAACTCAGTCTCTGCTAAAATACTCACACAACATCCAAATGCCTTCGTTGCAATCTCTGGGGATTTTAGTCATGCCTCTCTCTCTACAACCCTCCCGACTTTTCACCAATTTGTCATTTGCCCTACCAGAGACAATAAAACACTGGATTTACTGTATGCAAACATACAGGATGCATACAGATCCACAGCCCTCTCTCCCCTTGGTAGGTCAGACCATAACCTGGTTCTTACCGGTTCACCTACACATCCATTGTTCAGCGGCAACCGGTAACCACGAGGACAGTCAGGAGGTGGTCTCAGGAAACCAATGAGCTCCTGCAAGGGTGTTTTGAGGCTACAGACTGGGATGTGCTCTGCGAACCCCATGGGAATAACATTGACTCCATGACGGACTGTATAACTGACTACATCTCCTTCTGTGTCAATAATGTGGTACCTACTAGGGAGGTGAGGTGCTTTGCAAACAATAAACCCTGGATCACCAGGGATTTAAGATGTTTGCTAAATAAAAAGAAGAAGGCATTCAGGGATGGTGACAGTGTGTTGCTGAAGAGTGTACAGAGGGAGTTGAGGGTGAGGCTGAGAGAAAACAAGGAGGCATACAGGAGGAAGCTGGAGAGCAAGCTCCAGCAGAACAACATAAGGGATGTGTGGCACGGTATGAAAACCATAACCGGCTTCAAGGTGAAAGGAAATCAGGCGGAAGGGCCAATGAGCTGAACGTGTTCTTCAATAGGTTCAGCACGAGGCCTTTGGCTACCTCCCCGGCCCCTGAAAGCCACACAGACCCTACATCCTCCCCCTCACAAAGGCCCCCCCTCCCCGCAAGTTACCTGGATGGCACCCACTGCCCCCCCCCCCCCCCCACAGTTTGCATACTGCCCAAGGGTGGGGGTTGAGGACGCCATCATCTACCTACTCCACAGAGCCCACTCTCACCTAGACAAGTCTGATAGCACTGTGAGGATTACGTTTTTTGATTTTTCAAGTGCTTTTAACACCATACAGCCAGTACTGCTACGTGAGAAGCTGGAGCTGATGCAGGTAGACACCACCACAACATCCTGGATCATGGATTACCTGACTGACAGACCACAGTTTGTGAGGCTGGGGAGGTCTGTGTCTGAGCGGGCGGTCAGTGGCATAGGAGCGCCACAGGGGACTGTGCTGTCCCCTTTCCTCTTCACACTATACACCTCAGACTTCCAGTATAACTCTGAGGCTTGTCACTTACATAAGTTCTCAGATGATACTGCGGTAGTAGGGTGTATTAGTGGTGGAGAGGAGACATAATACAGGCAGCTGGTGGATAACTTTGTTGCAGGGAGTGGGAAGAACCACCTGGTGTTAAATGTAACAAAGACCAAGGAAATGGTGGTGGACTTTAGGAGGGCCAGGCCTGAGCTAAGTACCATCTCTATCCTTGGGGATGAGGTGCATGTGGTGGAGTGCTATAAATACTTGGGGGTGCACAAAATGTTATCCATGTTTTATCAGACTGTTGTGGCAAGTGCCATTTTCTTTGTAGCCGTCTATTGGGGCAGCAGCATCAGGGCTTGTGACTCTAAAAAGCTTAACAAGCTGATTAGGAGGGCTGGCTCTGTGCTGGGGGACTGCTATGGAGCCCCTGGAGGTGATGATGGGGAGAAGGATGATACAGAAACTGTTGAACATTACGGACAATAACATGCATCCCTTACACAATCTCGTGTGTGAACAAAAGAGTGTTTTTAGTCTAAGCTGCAGCTAAGCTGCAAAAAGGACAGATTTAAAAATACTTTTTTACCTACTGCAATTGCACTCTATAACGACTCCACTTAAAGTAAGGACAGAAGACATTTAAACTTTTAAACTTTAGCCTGAGCTGCATATATATATATATATATATATATCTCAAACTGTATTTTGCACCTGTATATTTGCACACTTGACTGCTTTTTTATAATAATTCTTTATTTGTCTATCATACTATGCACTGGCAGAGCTAGTTTTTTTGTACTGTTATCTATGAGTAACAGCTACTTATGCATATGGACTATCCATACCACTTTTTTATCCTGGCTATGTATTGTGGGCTCATGTTTTTTGTATGGGTGGGATATGTATGTATATATGTGTTGTGTGTTTTTATGTATGCTGGCTGCTGGAACACCTAAATTTCCCTGCTGGGATGAATAAAGTATATCTTATCTTATTTATCTTAATAACACATCGGGTGTCATTCACCGACCGTTCTCAAGAACTAATGTGTTCTTAAATCCTGGTTACAATCTTTTGAAGAAGATTCTGGGATTCAGCGATGTTTTCTTCTGTGGGATTTATTGTTAGGTAGGCTTCTTCGGCTGTTCGGGTGCTGACAGAGTCTGGGGGGAGGTTTCTTTGAGGGTTCTTGCACCAGGAGGGGGACACAGCTTTCTTCCAAAAGGGCCACAGAGATGCAGCATTAAAAATGTTTTTTGTTTTTTTTACCTGAAATGGAATAAATGATCAACAGATGAATTTCAACTGGACATTAAACTTTCTTATTGCCTGAGTCTAACCTAGCTTTAAATTAAATAAGAACAGGTTGGAAATATACTTGGGCCCAGCTATCGTCTATTAGTGGGAAACACTGGAGATTAAATATTCTCAAACAGGTTGTTTGGTATGAAGTTGTCATTTTTATTGTTCTGCACTTTTTTGGATTTGGGCAAATGTCAGTGTTGTGTGGAGTTTAAGTGACAGTTCTAGCGCTAACCCTTAGTAGGCCTACAGCGTGGCTGCCAACAGTCAATAATAAATCATATTCTTTTTATGAATATATTTGCCTCTTGCATGAAATCTGTGTTGAAATAGGCCTACAGTGTATTTTAACGTCTACCATAATGGTGGTACTTGGAGAGCCAGACATTTTCGGAGGTGGTACGCAGTATAAAAAGTTTGAGAACCACTGATCTAATGGATCATGTTTGATCTGGTTTGATCTAGTGGATCCTGTTTGATCTAATGGATCCTGTTTGATCTAGTGGATCATGTTTGATCTGGTTTAATCTAATGGATCCTGTTTGATCTGGTTTGATCTAATGGATCCTGTTTGATCTGGTTTATCTGGTTTGATCTGGCTTATCTGGTTTGATCTGGTTTATCTGGTTTGAGCTAATGGATCCTGTTTGATCTAGTTTGATCTAATGGATCCTGTTTGATCTGGTTTATCTGGTTTGATATAATGGATCCCGTTTGATCTGGTTTGATCTAATGGATCCTGTTTGATCTATTTTGATCTAATGGATCATGTTTGATCTGGTTTGATCTAATGGATCCTGTTTGATCTATTTTGATCTAATGGATCATGTTTGATCTGGTTTGATCTAATGGATCCTGTTTGATCTGGTTTGATCTAATGGATCATGTTTGATCTAATGGATCCTGTTTGATCTGGTTTGATCTAATGGATCCTGTTTGATGTGGTTTGATCTAATGGCTCCTGTTTGATCTAATGGATCATGTTTGATCTAATGGATCTGGTTTGATCTAATGGATCCTGTTTGATGTGGTTTGATCTAATGGATCCTGTTTGATCTAATGGATCCTGTTTGATGTGGTTTGATCTAATAGATACTGTTTGATCTAATGGATCATGTTTGATCTGGTTTGATCTAATGGACCCTGTTTGATCTGGCTTATCTGGTTTGATCTGGTTTATCTGGTTTGATCTGTTTGGATCTGGGGAATCCGGTTTATCTGGTTTGTTATGTTTGGATCTGGGGAATCCGGTTTATCTGGTTTGATCTGGTTTATCTTGTTTGATCTGGTTTATATCGTTTGATCTGGTGTGATTTGGTTTTATCTCGTTTGATCTGGTTTATCTTGTTCATCTGGTTTGATCCGATTTATCTGGTTTGATCTGGTTTATATGGTTTGATCTGGTTTATCTGGCTTGATCTGCACACTAACAGTGTCTTTGTTTATGTGGTCTCAGTGCAGCTCTAGGTTCTGCCCAGCAGGACTGGTTGGACCTGAGGATCCACAGCACTGCCCGACGCTGGAGACTACCAGGATTACACTGTCTGTCCAAGTCTGAACCCTGAACCACTACAGACCTTCAGAGACATCCATAGACCTTCAGAGATCACTACAGACCATCAGAGACCACCACAGACCTTCAGAGACATCCACAGACAACTACAGACCTTCGGAGACATCTACAGACCTTCAGAGACCTCCACAGACCCTCAGAGATCTCCCAGACACTCAGAGACCACCACAGACCCTCGGAGACCTCCACAGTCCTCCACAGACACTCAGAGACCTCCACAGACCTTCAGAGATCACCACAGACCAGTATGAAGCCTCAGACAAACATTTTTGTGAAATAATCTTTTAAAACATTTTAGATTGTTTATATTTTTAAATAAATCAAAAATATTTATTCATGAATTATTATATTTATTTATTTTTTTGTTTGCTGCTTGTCATCAAACTTACTTTTCTATTCATTAATAAAAATATATTTTCTACTCGTATGTCCGTTTTTTTTGGTTTTATCAAAAAGGTCATATTTTGCCTTTTTTGGGGTTCGTATATTTAATCTATGTACCTCCTAAAGTATGTTCACAATAGCTAAAGTTTGAAAAAAGTGTCTGTTTTCATGTACTGTCGCTTCTGACTCTCTCTCTAGGCTCTGAAGTGCCCACGTTCAGAGTCCCCACGTGTGCCAAGTCTGATCTGATTGGTTGGCCGGTCGGCTCTGTTGTAATTGGTCAGTCGCTCAGCACGGTTCTCAGAAATGTCACGCCCCTTTTACCATATTGGTAATATAGCAAAAACACCGGTATGCAAACAGCAATGGCCGGTTTTCAACTTCACCAATCTGACATAGAGGAGGAACAAACACAACAACCTTTGCCACGAAGGCATGAGCACGGTGTTTCAGTGTTGTAGGTGTTTATTTTGCAGCCTGTTCAGATTTAATATGTGTTTAATATATGCTAATCGGGTAGCTACAATGAGTTGTTTAGGTGTAGGCTAAGTGTGGAAACTGCAGCTAAATACTTACCGAAGCAAACACTGTGTGCTGCAGAATCCCATGATAACTTACAACAACAACATAGCAACAGTAACACACAGCTTATGTTTGTATCAAGTCTTTTTATCAAAAAAACTCTCACTGTTATTGTGTTGAAAAATACTTTAGCCTCTTCCAATTTCACTGACTGGAGCTACCAGCATATTTCCCCAATCCAAAAATATATCTTACTCGTGGCTTCACAAAGTTTGGCTTGATTACAATATGATTATTGGCCACAAATGTGTTCTGTACAATACATTTTTATTGTATTTACATTAGTACTGTACGTTGTTTATTGCAGCGACTCACTTTGTTCTGCATTGTAAATCACCTCCTTGATGTGATTAAAAATTCAATGAGCAATTGTATCAATGACATCAAAGACTGCTATAGTTATTTTGACTACAAAAGCCCAGGTGATAATCACGTGTTTGTTGGATCAATATCTCATGCAATAATGTTTCCCCCTCTGTCATTATTTTCCTTCTTATTGAACATTATTTCATTTTAATCAGTATATTGAAAAAAGAGAAAACACCACCCCCCCTTACGAAAAAGTTGAAAAAAGACAAAACACCCCCCTTTACATAAAAGTTGAAAAAAGACGAAACACTCCCCCTTACGAAGAAAATAGAACAATTCTCCTTATCTCCTCCACTCTGTCTCCTCACCTGTCTGTCTTTCACCTCCACTCTGTCTCCTCACCTGTCTGTCTTTCACCTCCTCCACTCTGTCTCCTCACCTGTCTGTCTTTCACCTCCTCCACTCTGTCTCCTCACCTGTCTGCTTCTTACCCCCTCCACTCTGTGTCTGCTCACCTGTCTGTCTTTCACCTCCTCCGCTCTGTCTCCTCACCTGTCTGCTTCTTACCCCCTCCACTCTGTGTCTCCTCACCTGTCCGTCTTTCACCCCCTCCGCTCTGTGTCTCCTCACCTGTCTGTCTTTCACCCCCTCCGCTTTGTGTCTCCTCACCTGTCTGTCTTTCACCCCCTCTGCTCTGTGTCTCCTCACCTGTCTGTCTTTCACCCCCTCTGCTCTGTGTCTTCTGTGTGTCTTTCACCTCCCCTTTCACCTGTCCCCTCCGCTCTGTGTCTCCTCACCTGTCTGTCTTTCACCTTTAACGCCTGCAGAGTCAGAATCCCCTTTGTACACACCTCCATTCATTGCTTCCTCCGTCATCCACCCACATTCATCTCACACTCCAATGAAAAACAGCCACACTGCCGCGAAGTCTGAATCCGTCCTCCAGGAAGGGTATTTGGGTGATCGGCGCGGGAGAGTGATTGAAAAAAAAGTCAGTGAGTGTTACCTCGGCATAGAGCGTGTTTGAAGTCCGTGTTATAGCCGTTTGTTAAAATCTTCGTCGCTGGAGGTCCGTTGCAGTCAGGCCCGATTATCTGTTGGATTTGTTTATTTCCCTGTTCCTGGCGGATCAGCTGTTCCCTGGAGTCAGGAGATGCCGGTCGCAATGGAGCAAAGCCAACTCTGACTTAACCTACTGACAGACTTAAAAAACGTCGTTACCGTGAGTACCTGCTGTGTCTTCTGTTCGTTTTTGTTTTTGTTTTGATTGTTGCACCGCGAAGAGAGACGCTGGTTTTCTTTTCACTTTGTTTCCTCATTTGTTTTCGAAGCCCGCGACAAAACCAGGAGCGGAGTTTTTGTTTCGTATTTGAACATTGAACTGAAATGGACTGAACTGTGGTTGTGGGTATACCGGAGCGGACTTTTGCCGGAAGGGACTGAAGTTTGATTTACAAACACAGACTGTAAAACGCGCACACACATTGCGCACATTCATTTTGTTTGCAGTGTGGTTGATATAAATTGTGAAAATATATTTTATTGAAATTGCCTTGCTGTTTTGTTTGATTGTTTTGTGGCTCTTGTTTATGTCATATTTTGTGCAGGTTGACTATTTTTTGTTTGCATTTAATTTTTATTTGTCAGAGTTGACTCTGACTGGCACCCCAAATTAAAACCTTGTCAAACCCGCTACAACCTCTTCCACTCTGTGTCTCCTCACCTGTCTGTCTTTCACCTCCTCCACTCTGTCTCCTCACCTGTCTGTCTTTCACCTCCTCCACTCTGTGTCTCCTCACCTCAGAGAGAGAGAGGTGGAGATTTTTTTGATTTTTAAAGCACAATTTATTTGCCGCTCACATACAATATACACATTTATATTAACATTTAAATTATTTATTTAAAAACTGTTCTTTGTTTTTTGGTTGTTGAATAAATAAATAAATATATATATCATATTGTCAGCACATTCCCAAACTCCAGGTCATCATCTGCCACATCACATGAAACAGTCTGGAAACACCACACAGTCCTGAAAGTGTTCAGATCTCCCGTAACCTTGTAAAAATTAAAATCCAGCAGAATCCTCGACCTGATGAGTCCCACACACACAGTGACAGGGAAAGTGGTTTCCCCCCCCTCCACCTTCCTCCTCCGGCTCACATACACCGCCATCTTGGCCTGGCCCAACACAAAGTTTAAAAGCTGGCTCTTCTCCTTCTTCTGGCAAGTGTATTTAAAACCACAGATAAAAACCTCTCTGGTAAAAAGCTCAGTAAAAGCAGTAAAAACAGAAACAGTGCAGACAGTCAGTGACATCCAGTGAAACAATGAAAAACAGTCTCTCTCTGTGTGCAAAATCAAAAAGAGTTCACTGCCACGACCCCATGGAGGATCCTCCACTGTAAGTCCACTGTAACCTCCAGGCCGGCCCGGACCCTCCTAAGCCCAGGTGAGTCCTCCATGGGGTGTCAGTTCGTCCGCTCAGTTTGTTTCTGTTCAGTTTAATTACCATCAAACGATAAAAAGCCTTTCCTAAGGCGTCCTGCAGAGAGGCCTGAGGACAGTGGTCCAGAAGGATACCTGCACAGTTGTTCAGGTCCACAGTGAGCTGGATGGAGGGGAAGTGGTCCTGTATGTCAGGTGTAGTCCGACCAGAGGAGAAAGAGTCCAACATCTGGAGCCTGCGACACTTAGTTTCTCCTTCCAGCTTTTCTTCCAGGAACTTGCTGAACCTCATCCTCAGTTTTACAGTCAATCCTGCAGAGTTCTGCAGCTGGGGTCCAGCCAGCTCCACCACCTGGCCCAGAGTAGTGACCCCTGCAGTCTGGAACAGAGAAGACAGGTAGGGTCCTGCCCAGCTGGGATAGTCCAGAATTGTCCCATGAAGGACCGGTTCCTGCAGCAGCCAGTGTAGGGAGTCTGCCTGGTCCTGTCTCTGTTTTCTCACAAGGTTCCAGACATTAAAAACACTTTTATAAAAACTAGGCAGAGATGACCTGTTAAAATGGGTGCTGTCCATTAAAAACAAATTAAAATCCATACCCAGGTTATTAAAATGGTTAAAACACAATTTATTTGCCGCTCTCATACAATGTACACATTATTTATATTAACATTTAAATTATTTATTTAAAAACTATTCTTTATTGTTTATTATTATTATTTATCATATTGTCAGCACATTCTCAAACACCAGGGACCTCATGTATAAAAGACTGCGCAGCTTTTATACTGAAAAATGGTGTACTAACTAAATTGAAAAAGTGCTTACAGAAAGAAATTTCCACATGTAAAAAACCTTGCGTACGTCTGTTCCTGCGCACCTTTCCTTTACACATCACCATTAACGTGAAATTGAGCGCAGCTGCACATGCAACTTGGCCCGCCATGTCTCCGCCCATGAATTAGTATGCAAATTACTATAAATACCACACATGACCATGTGACCTTTTGTCTGAATAACTATGGCAAAAAAAAAAGAAACTTGACTGAGAGTGAAATTGAAGTGCTCATCACCGAGGTGGAGGCCAGAAAACAAATATTATTTGGTGGTCTTTCCTCAGGAATGAGTAACAAACGTAAGATGAGTGAGTGGCAGTGTGTCACTTGTGCTGTTAACACAGCCGGTTTGGAGTAACGCATAATGGCCGAAATTAAAAAGAAATGGTCTGACATAAAAGTCGATGTAAAAAGAAGGGTAGCTGCATATCGGCAGAGTGTGGAAGCCACAGGTGGGGGCCAAAGAAAATCA